CACCTCGGCAACAAACTCTTGAGATGCGTGATGTCTGTGTTATGTACACGTGCCTAGCGCAGACTGACCCCATGCTCCCCAGTAGGGCAGCGGGCACTACGACTATGCAGAAATCCTACCGCATCTGAGGTTGCGGAGAGGCCGCGCGAGGTCGGAGTGCCTTGCTGACTCGAACCGCTAAAGGTCTGCATAGGCCTAACAGCGCTGATGATGATGATGATGATGGTTGATAAAGCCTATTAGGGGTGCAGGATGTTGTTCCCACCCCCATGCGCTAATGAGTAGCACTTCATGACTCCAGCACTGTATCACGGCGTGGTGGTGGGGGTTGTTTTGGCGGCCAGGTGCGGCCAGGGCCTTGTCGGCGGCGTGGTGCCCCCACTGTCAAGCCTGATTACGCTGCAAGGGCTGCAAGCAAGCAAAGCAGGAGGGTCCTCGTGTGTCTTGCCGCGCCGCGCCTTGCGGGGACACACAGGGACCACCTGCAAGTGCTGCCTGCAGGCCGTAGCTCTGTCTCTCTCGCGCCCCTACCCCTGGAGTGCGAGTGCGAGAGAGACAGAGATAGAGGCGCCGCTTCGGCCCTCCCCTTGCGTGCACGCCGCGCGTGCTTCCCGCCCGCCCCGCAGACGATGTCGTCTCTCTCGCACTCATGGGGCGTCGCGTAGAGGTGCGAGTGAGACGGAATGCGTCTGCTGTCGCCGGCCGCCGAGAAGAAGTCCCTCAGGTTGGCCGCTGCACAGTGGGCCAGAAGACCGGTGGAGGCGGCCGAAACTTTAACCGCGTTTTGAGCTCCAGAGTCGCTAAATGGGACTAGAACCGAACGTGTGACCCCACCAATGGATTGCTCTCCGAACGAGGAATCCATTGGTGGGGTCACTCGTTCGGTTCGAGTCCTGTTTAGCGACTACGGAGATCAAAACGTGGTTAGAGTTATGGCCGCCTCCACCGGTCTTCTGGCCCACTGTGCGCTGCCCGGTCCCGCCTCTCTTCTCACAGTGTAGTCGCGTGGGTGGGGTGGGGGTGCAAAGAGCACAAAAAGCGCGGTTATCGTTGTTGTCGATGTCGTTTGGCTAAGTGCGTTGTTATCTGGGCTGGCTTCCGCCCGTTGCCTGCCGGCCTGCCAGTGTGCCGGTGCCGGGGAAGACCGCCTCAGTGTCCAGTGCGTCCAGCGAGGCTCGGACAGTGTGGGCGCCACCTAACGGCGCGTCGCGGAACCACAGCCTGGCGAAAGAGAGAGGGAGAAATGGCGGGGGAGACGCGAGGGGACGGGTCCGCTCTGGAAATAGGTAACGCGATTTTCACGAGGTCGTTATCGGAATTTTAGTACTGGTCACCTTGCGTGCTGGAGACTGATTCCAAACACTGCCTTCGTCGCCCGCACTCACTCTCACAGTGGAGTGGAGAAAGAGAGCATTGTTGGCATATTTTGCACTTTGGCCACCACCCTTGCAGTGTACTCGTTGAACCCCTTTCCTGCTTGTCATTCGCCCGTGCTAATATAAAATTCCCATCCCAAATTTTTTTCGCTGCCTTTTTTTTTCTGTGATTATTACACGTGGTTTAGCAGTGTAGGCGCGACGGGCCGCGCGGACACGGCTGTCTGCGCGTGGGATCTCTCTATGCGCCGTTGTTGTTGTGATTTGTGCGTCGCGATTGCCAAAGAGCTGCAGCCAGCGCGTCTAGCGCGTTGCCCCGGACGACGGTGCGCCGACGGCGGGGCGGGCTGCGTCGCCCTCTCCGTCTGTCTCTCTCACTCACTCTCGCGCTGTTTTCCATTTCTGTCCCCATCGCTCCCGGCCGGGGCGTTCCGGACGCGGAGCGCTAAACGCCGCGGCGTCGCGGCCCCCGTCACCGTCATGCAGTTGTGTTGTGTGCACGGCGGTGCACTGCAGTGTGGACGCGGGTCTCACGGGTCTTGGTGTGCTTCTCTCTGTTCCCGCTGCCGCTGCTGCCGCTGCCCATCCACCACGGCGCCATGGCCTCTGCCTCCGCCCCGCCGCCCTCGCTGCCTTTGGAACGGGAAATCTGGACAGCGGTGAGTACCATTCACGGTCACGGCGTTGTTCGCGACGGCGCCGTCAGCAAGTCGGTAAGCGGAAGAAAAGAAAAAGCAACACAACGGAGAATGTTGTCATGTGCTTGACGGCCTCCTCCAGTGTGTCGGCGGCAGGCCGACGGTGGTGGATTTTCAGGTTGCGAAGCTAAATGGTTCCCGGATCGGTCTTGCTTCTGCAACCCTCATCGTTGATTTTCTCTCGACTTGGTGAAAATCTAGTGTCCGAGGTTCAAGATTGCCTTCTGTGTCGTATGAAATTTTTTCCAGTGCATTGTAGCCCCGCGCTGGCTTTGCTGCCTGTAGTACGTACAGACGGCCTGATACTGTATCGGCGTGTTGTTCTTTGTCAGCACACTGCCATCTGCGCGGAGCCTCGCGGGGCACCGCGGACCCGCTGACTCTGCCGTATTGAGCGTCGCGATCTCAACGCCTCCGAGTCCGTCGCGAGCCTCCCCGCTCTCCAGAAGAGCGCCGCTGTTTGAATTTTCCCGCCAAACCAACTGACTGTCGGCGCCACGCCCACCCCGACTCCGCTTCCTCGCTCTGTCTCTCTCGCGCTCATGGAGTGCGCCTTAGGGGAGCAAGGGAGACAGCGACAAGTGCGGCGCGCAGCGGAATCGGACTGGCCCACTGTGCGGCGACGGGGATGCTCCCTCCCCCTCCCCCCGCGTCTCCCCGGAGAACGGAGAGAGGAAGAGAGAGCGCGGACCAACGCAGCGCGCAGTCGCGTCGTCATGGCGACGGAGGGTGTGGCGCTGCTTGCGCTGCTGTGTGCGCTGGGGTGGGGGTGGCCGATTGAACGCCTGGGCCTGGCCCGGCTTGGGAGGGGGAGGGGAGGGCGTGAAGTGTTTGGGGCACTTGAGCGCACTTGAGACGGTTGACGGATTTCCAGGACTCTTGAACGCCGCGACCAATTCAGTGTGGAGTTTGTTGAAAGTCCAGCCTTTTTAACACTGAACGGACCCCAGTGTGTCCAGTTTGCTGGCATCACTGCTGCCTCATTAGATGTCAATCTACCGCGATGCGCCTTTGCCTACCTCTGCCAAGCAAAGCCCGGGCTTCGCTCCGGAGAAGTTGCCCAGTGGGCGGGCTGAGGTTGGCAACCCTTTCGACGCTGGTGCGTCGTGGGAATTTCGGCCTCATTGTGTGGCTACACCACTGGCCAGCGTGGGCGGTCTCTCTCGGTTGGGGTAGCGACAACGCACCGCACTGGTTTGGAATGCAGTGTGGGTGCTCTAATCGTGCGAAGGAATGATCGCCGTCGCCTTTAAATCGCCGAAATATCAAGACACGTGCGTGCCCCGCGGCTCCCTGGGGCGGTTCGTCGCTCCGTCTCTCTCGCACCCGCAGGCCCGCGCCATGCGCCGTGCGAGTGCGAGAGAGACGGACGGCGTGGCCGTGGATTGGCGACGCGTGCTCTATCGCGGCGCCGCTATCTCGCACTGCACTGCAGCGCGCCGCGGGCAGGTCGCCGGGCGCGCGTTTCGGCGCCGCCGGCACACTGATTCCGTCGCTCTGTCTCTCTCGCACCGCTCGGGACGCCCCACGAGTGCGAGAGAGAACAACATGGCATGCAGTCATAACAAGATCCGCGCCGTGCCGAAGTGCCGCCCGGTCGCACCCCTGCAGGGCCCTGGAGAGGCAAGGGGTAGCTACCGCCGGCTACAGCCGCCCCCGCGCGGGGTATCGCCGAGGCGTGACGTCAGTGACTCCACGACGCCCCCCGCCGCCCCCGCCGCGTAGCCGAGTCCCCGGAGGGATGACCGCCTTGCCCGCACCTGTGCGGTGTAGGTATCACGGACGGGCGCCCTGCCTCGCCCTGCCTGGGGGTTGTTTGGCCGCACCGGACTACCCCCTCCCCGCCAGAGTGTTGCAATGCGTCAGTGTCGGGGGGGGGGGGGGGGGGGGCTGCAACGGCCGGAAGTGGACCTGGGGAGGAACGAAGGCTCTTGGTGCACGCTCACGGTGTCGTGTTCCTGGTCGACCCGGTCGCCGGCGTGGTGGTGCTGGCGCTGGCGGGGTCGGCACGCCATCCGGAACAGTCCGGAACCGCTGTGGTTAGAATTCGGGGGGCGGCGGTGATGGATCGGGGCGTTCTCGGCGGTCACGAGGCCCCGTCGACGCCGTCGTCGGTGCCGCCTTGTGCAGCGCGGCGCTTAGCGACGCCCCCGCCGGATTAGCGGGCAGGTGCAAGGGCCCGTCTGCGGGCCTCTGTCTCTCTCGCACTCGTGGGCCGCCTCGTGCGGGTGCGAGAGAGACGGAGCGACGGTCGGAGGTCCGCGTCGACGGTCCGGGCTTTCCAGGCGCGCTGCTCTTGATTTACGCCCGGCCCCCGTGCCGTGCCGGGGAAAATGCTGAAAATGATGCCGCAATCACGCTGCCGAGAAGGCAAAGTAAGGGCCGCTGGAGGCGTTCGTGTTTCGTGACGGCGGGGCGCTTTTTCGCTATTTTTGGAGCCGTAGGTCGCGGCTAGGGGCCAAGGGAAGAGACTCGGCGGCCTGGAGGTCGACGGGGACGTCGGCAGTGTACCGACGGCGTCCTTGAATCAAAGCCACCCCTTTCCGTGCGCGCTGCGCTGCGCGTCTGTCCGGTGCATCGCGGGGCGGGGCGGGGCGGGGCCGGTTATGAGTCAGTCTCTCTCCCTTCCCCGACGCCGCCGTACCGCCCCGCCGCCGCGGCTTCCCTCCTCTCTCTCTCTCGGGCCGGCCGCCGCGCTGGCAGCCAGGCGGCAAGCCCGAGCAGCCAGCCCGCCCGCCAGGGGCAGCCAGGGGCGGGGGGAGAGCCCAGCCCGCGCGTCGAGCCGAGCACGCCGACGAGCGCAAGCGCGCAGCCGCGCCACGGCGGGAGCGGCCGAGCCGAGCCGGCCAACACCAACATCTGTACGGCTGTGCCTGGCTGTGCCGCGCCGCCACGCCACGCCACGCTCCCAGTCACTCAGTGCGTGTCTGTAGTCCGTGCCGCGCGGACGGCGTCGCCCAGCACCGCGTAGTGCTGCATCGTGTGTGCGTGACGTTATGCCCAGTGTCGCGTCGCGAGTGACAAGAGGCTAAGAAGGTGTGTGTGTGTGTGTCGGTTGCTTCGCGTCCAGAGTGTCCAGGACGGCGTCCAGGGCCTGGACTCCAGGCTGGGTGGTCCAGGACGGTGTCCTGCCGGCTCCACGGCGGCCCCTGAGGCCCTGCTCGCTGGCCGGCGGTCCTCGCTCAACATATGGGCCCCGCAGAGGGGGTGGGGGCGGCAAGCCGCAACAGGGGGCGGGCCTAGAAGAGAAGGGTTGGGTTCGGGTTGGGTCTGGTGGTTAAGGGAAAGGGTTTTACAGTGAAGGGCGCAAGGGTGCCTACCCACAAGGCGTCCGGCTGAATCATTTAGCAGGCTGGCCACCCTTTACCTCTCCGTGACGTGCCTCGCGGCGTCGTGGACCCCAACGCGAGCCCCAAAAGTGACCCGGCCGGTTTCGGGTGCTTCGAGTGCTGGCCGTGCTGGCCGCAGTCCGCCCGCTTGACGTGGCCAAGGCCGAGGGCGCCGAGGGCGAGGGGGTTGTGGGGCCCGGATGGGGTGTGACGCGGTGCGCCACGGCCTGACACCTGTCGCCCGCCACCCCCTGGAGGCCCCCCGGCTGTGCCCCCGCCGCCCCCGCCCCGCGAGGACTTGGAGGACTTCTCCAGCCAGCAGTGACATGCCCGCCCGCCTCGCTAGTGCCCCGGCCTCGGCCGCCTCACTGGGCAAATTGGATGCGAGCCGACGGCCTGGAAGGTCCTGGAAGGCTGCAAGTGGAGCGGGCTGCCTACTCGGCCAGGGTGGCTGCGGACACTGTCGGCAGATTGTGCCCCGGTCGCTGAATGGTACTCGAACCGAACGTGTGACCCCACTAATGGACTGCTCTCCGAACGAGGAATCCATTGGTGGGGTCACACGTTCGGTTCGAGTCCTGTTCAGTGACTGTGGAGCTCAAAACGCGTCCGGGATTTTGACCGCCTCCACTGTGCGGCGGACGCTGCCCGAGGTTCAACGCAGTTGTTGGGGTGCTTTGGAACACAGGCGCGCAGTGCGCGGGCCTGGGCTGGCGGGGCTGGCGGTGGAGGCCCTGGGGAGCGCGGACAGACACATGGCAGGGAGGGTTGGGGCAGACGGGGCTGACGGGGCGGGCGGCGGCAGTGCCTCCCCCGCTACGGCGCCGCGGGGCCGCGCGCCTCGCCCTCCGGCTCACAGTGTACGCGCTCACAGTGTACACCCTACGCACTGCGCGCTGCGCGGCCCGCCTTTTCGGGGGTCCGCGTTGTCGGAGGGTGCTGCGCGTCGCTGCGCGCTCTCCTGCAATATCGATTGACTTCTTGGAGGCCGTCTCCGAGGAGGACGGTGCCCCGGAGGCAGCCCAGCCGCCAGGCCCGCCAGGGATGTTCGGGGGTGTTGCGCTCGGCGCCTCCTAATGGCCTCGTGTCCCGGGGTCCCGGGTTCGAATCCCGGGGCGAAGGCTCCTTTTCGGGCTGTTTTACGGTCACTTTGTTTCCAACGGCCCGGCCGCTCCGACGGCCTGCCGTGGCCTGCCCGCCGCGTTTACGTCTGTTTATAGTTTTAGTGCGGCGAGCCAGCCGTTGACCCGCGGCACCGCTGCGCTTGCACCACCGACAAATAACGCCATCAGCTGACCGACTCCGTCTCTCTCGCACTCGCGGCGCGTCCCCTTTGGGCCCTATGGGTGCGAGAGAGACAGAGCGACGAAAACGGACTCTCGGAGTGCAGCTCAAAGACCGTCCTTGTGTCGGAGGCGGCGGTCTCGGGGGACGATCGTCGGGGAGCTATCGCTTTACACGCTGTGTGCGTTATCCCGCCTGTCTGTCTGCCTGTCTGTCCGTCCGAGATCTGGTTAGTGTAGTGTACGGCTCGGTCAATCTGGCGGCCGGACGCGCTGGGCCAGCCAGTCGGCCAGCCAGTCGGTACAGTACACGCGTTCAATGACTCTTTGTCCCATCTTGGGATGCGCTTGGCTCCGCCCCGCCCCGCCCCGCCCCGCCCCGCCCCCGCGCCGACGTACGCGGAGGGCGTAAGTTAGTCGGAGCCCTGTGGAGCGAAGGTAATGGGGAATACAGTGTGGGCGTCGCTGTCGGAGTCCGTCGTCCGCGGAGAGGGCCTTCTCGGCGTGGTGGCGGCGCGGCTCGCCCCGCCGCGCGGAGGGCGTGTTGGGAATGGATGAGAAATGCATCATGGGCTCGGCCGCTCCGAGCGCGCCACGCTCATTTCGAACCGCGCCGTCGCCGTGGGTGCGAGAGAGACGGACTGCGCTTCCCGGAGGCGATGAAGCTGATGGTTATCGGCGTGCCTCGCGCCGCGCGTCGGAAGTGCACGAAGTGCAGCAGGACGTGCTAGAGGCCCTCCTTGTGGTGCTGGCGGTGCGGACCAGGACCGCAGCTTGGCCGCGCTGCGACACCGTCTGTGTTATTTTTAGCCTCCAGCCGCCCCCTTCCCCTCCCCGCCGTGTGGTGTGGTGCCCCCTGGCCGCCTCTCCGTGTGCCCTACAAGGTTTGGCGCACTGGCCGTTTTATTAAAGACACTGCACTGGAATGTCCCTAGAGGAGCTGGAGTGTCTATCGGCCGCTGGTCGCTCCAGAGGGGCGTGCGTTCCGTTCCAGGCAGTTCCAGGACCGGCTGGAAAGGGATCGCCGTGGGACTGGAGGGCTGGGGCGCCGCTCCAGCGTGGGCTGCACTGGAAGGGCCTGGAGGCGGCGGCCGCGACACAGTGGATACGCGTCTAGAATTTTTGCTGCCTCCGCCGAAGATGGACGATCGGAGGAGGCTCCACGAAAATGGGTGGCAAACTCGACCGAACCTCACCAAGCTGCGCGACTCGGATTGATTGTCGTCCGACGTCAGTGGCTTGGATGAAGCGTCGGCTCTCTCCGAGCCCCTCCGAGCCCCTCCGGGGTCGCGGGTCGCGGTCCGAGCGTCGTCGCCGTCACCTTATGTGACGGACGGGCTCTCCTCTCTGCCAGGGGCCGCCCTTGTAAGGGGCGAGGGCGGCTGCGTCGCTAGTGGCCGTCCAGCAGACGGAGAGTCGTCTTCGTGGCTCTTCCTCTCTCGCACCTAAACGGTACGCCCTTCGAGTACGAGAGAGACAGAGCGACGAAATCGACTCTCGGAATCGGTCTGCAGGGTGGCGTCCGAATGGTTCCAGCCTGGCGGGGCGTCGCCGTGCGCTGCTGAGTGTAGCGGTTTCGCACGCGCGTGCGAGAGAGACAGAGACGGCGGCGGCGCTGCGAGTGCGAGAGAGACAGACTGAGGGAAAGGCGCGAGCCGCGGCGTACTCGCGTGGCCGCGACGCGGCAAAAGGGAATGCAGGGTTAATTATCGCCTGGGCACGATGGAGAGTCAGTCGTTGAGGCGAGGCAGTCACACTCCGCTTGTCCGAGCCGTCAGACCCGCTGTCGCTCCAAACTAGAAATGTTTTGAAACACGAATTTGGCGGCAAAAAAATTGAAATTTTCGCTTGTATTCAATTTTGCCAACTTTATCCAAGGTTTACCGTTGGCACGCTGGATTCCCTGGCCCGGGCGGCTGGCCGTGCTTTGCCCGACGGCGCGCTTGGCCGTGCCACAGGCCGTGCCGGGCTGTACTTTACTGTACTGTATTGGTCGGCCTGTGGAAGTAATCAGTGATCTCCGCCGGCATCTTCCCTTCTCTATATTTTTATTTTCTTTCTTCCTCGCGTTCCTTTTGTGGAGCGCGCGGCCCGCCGCGCCGTCCGGCCGTCTGGCCTGGAAGTCTGAGAGTCTGGTAGGCCTGCCCATGGCCTGCCCATGGCCTGCCTGCCCGCGGCGGTACGAGGAGGAAGCGACATGGAGCGGGCCGTCGACGTCGTCGACGTGGCCGTCGCACATCGCACAGTGGGCCAGAAGACCGGCGGAGGCGGCCAAAGCCCTAGACGCGTTTCGAGCTCCAGAGTCGCTAAATGGGGCTCGAACCGAACGTGTGACCCCACCAATGGACTCCTCGTTCGGAGAGCAGTCCATTGGTGGGGTCACACGTTCGGTTCGAGTCCTGCTCAGCGACTCTGGAGCTCAAAACGCATCTAGGGCTTTGGCCGCCTCCGCCGGTCTTCCGGCCCACTGTGCGTCGCTGTCCTGCGCGGCCCGCACACTTTAATTGTCGCTGGAAGGGTTTCGGAACGGAAAGCGTGTCGACCCGTGCAGTAACGACTGCGTGTCGGAATTGAATCCCCTGTCTCTCTCGCTCGCGCTAATAGCGCTGACGATGAGAGATTGGCAAGAAGCAGCCCTCCGATCGCAAGTCGCTGGCCGCGTCACGCTGTTCCTGGAACCGAACGTGTGAACGTGCTCCAGAGTCGCTAAATGGGACTCGAACCGAACGTGTGACCCCACCAATGGATTGCTCTCCGAACGAGGAGTCCATTGGTGGGGTCACACGTTCGGTTCGAGTCCCATTCAGCGACTCTGGAGCTCAAAACGCGTCCGGGGTTCCGATCGCGGCCCGCTGCGGCGCGGCACGTGTTCGGTGGGCACTCCGTGGCGGTGCGCTGTTTCATGGGCCGCGCGCCGCACCGAGGCGCCGAGCTGTATTTTTAGTGGTCATAAGTCGGTCATGATTTATTCGAGGGCGGGGCGGGGCGGGGCGGGGTGAAAGCCCATTTGTTGTTGTTGGTCGCGCGGGGTCCTACGGTGAACGGCGCTGGGGCCGTCTTGGTGTGTGTGCGCGCGCCGTGCGGGAACGGTTGGGAAATCGGTGCCTTTCCCAGCCCCTCACCGCTGGCCCACCCATTGACAACTTCCACCACAAAGGAACTGTCTCCAAGTCGCCCTTCTCCTTGGCCTAAACCCATGGAAATTCTATTTTAAAAATATGGAGTGCTCGGTTATTACTACGCAGCACGTGGCCGTGCCCCCCCCCCCCTCCTCACCGGAAATGACCCCGCCGTGCCACGCGTCGCCACCACACTGCGCGTGCCTGCATGTCACGCTACGGTGCACGCTGCACCTTGCTGGTATGCATTAGCTGCGCCGCGCCGCGTGTGTGTTGTTTTTAGTTTCGGAAAAGTGGGGGGGGGGGCACTGGACACTGCGAGTCTGCCATAGCTTTCCCGCACGTTCGGTCTCGGCTAAGCTCACGGGTTCGAACGCTGCCGGCTGGTGGTAGTAAATCAATTTAATGATAAGAAAATTGAATTGAAAATTAATCATTTTTGTGGTGTACCGTGCCTTCCTCGGCGTCGGCCCTGCTCCTTTCTCCAGTGCGTCGTCGGCAGGGGCCGTTTTTCCGCTCCGGGATTGCCCGTCCGTTCGTCTGTCTGTCTGTCTGTCTGTCCGTCTGTGCGTCCTTCCTCTCAATTACGAAGCGACCAATTGGACTGGCATCAGGTGCGCAGGCGACAGTGTAGGGACCTCCGCACACGCCCTGTAGAGACCGAGAGAGAGAGAGAGAGAGAAAACTCTGTCTCTCTTTCCCTCCCTCGCGCCGAGCAGTTCCGCCGGCGCCCGATCTGATTTCTGGAATTGCGTTTCCGGGCGTTGGGGCGCGCGCACTCGATGCGACGTGGCTGCTCTCAAAGTTGTGGAAGTTGTTGACGGCTGGCTGGCTGGCTGGATGGCTGGCTGGCTGGCTGCTGCCTGGCTGGCTGGCTGGCTGGCTGACTGACTGACTGGCTGACTGGCTGGCTGGCTGGCTGGCTGACTGACTGACTGACTGGCTGACTGACTGGCTGACTGGCTGGCTGGCTGACTGACTGACTGGCTGGCTGGCTGGCTGGCTGACTGACTGACTGGCTGACTGACTGGCTGGCTGGCTGGCTGACTGACTGGCTGACTGGCTGGCTGGCTGACTGACTGACTGGCTGGCTGACTGGCTGACTGGCTGGCTGGCTGGCTGGCTGGTCGACGCGCTCCGTTTGGACAGGCGGGCTTGCAGTGCGGTGTACTGTACTGTACTTACTGCAGACGCTCTGTCCCTCTCTCCTCTCTCTCGCACGCCCGCCGCCCGAGAGGGTGCGAGCGAGACGGAGACGGCCTGTCGTCGTCAAAATAAAGCGGATTGCGGACGGAGTGACGGAAAGGGGGACTCTCTCTTCGCGTGTGCCTTCGGAGCCTTTGCCCGTCCAGCGAGACCAACGACACTTCGGTCGGTTCCCGTCCGCCGCACCGCGAGGCACTGCACTGCGATGCAGTTTTGCTTTGCTTCCTCCGGGGAAACGAGGCTGCGGCAAAAAAAAGGTGGACATTGATGACAAATTTCGAGACGCTTTTTTTGTCGTTTGCTCGCCGCTCGAGTAGCGCCAAGTCGTTGCGGAAAGCGGGCGGCAGCGGCAGGAAATTGCCGAGGAAAGTGAGGCAGGCAGAGAAAATTGAATTTAATTATTTTTTTTTGGTGCGTCTATCTTATTTCTTGCCGTGCTCGACTGTCCGCGCTCTGCAGCCGCCAGGCCGGCTGTACGCAGTCGGCCGCGGGGCGTCTTATTGTCCGGGCTTATCGGTGTGTGCAGTGCCGGCACGCCGGGGGTCGGGGTTCGACTCCCGGCGGCTGCCACTTTGTTTTCGCCGCCGCTCAGTGGGTCAGAAGACCGGTGGAGGCGGCCAAAACTCTAGACGCGTTTTGAGCTCCAGAGTCGCTAAATAGGGCTCCAACCGAACGAGTGACCCCATCAATGGATTCCTCGTTCGGAGAGCAATCCATTGGTGGGGTCACACGTTCGGTTCGAGTCCCATTTAGCGACTCTGGAGCTCAAAACGCGTCTAGGGTTTTGTCCGCCGGCGCCGGTGCTGTCGCCGCTGTCGCGCTTAGCGGATGCCTCGCAACCCTTGTGCCTGGTGGCCCTTGTGGGGCAACGTCTACTTTTACGGGGGATTTATTTCGGTCGCCCTCTGGGGCTTGGCGCCGTGGCGTGGCGGCCAGGATGCCGTTGCGTCGCTCGGCTCGGCGCCTTCCTGTGGGCCGTTTGTTTGGGCCGCCATCCTGGACACCCTGGACGTGAAGCAACCCGAGGGACAGGCGGGAGCAGCCCGGGCTGACCGTCCTCGTCTCTGTGCAGTAAGGAGTAGCACCTCGACGGCGTCCTCCTCGCCACCATGAGCGGAGTCAACGGCTTGAACGGGCACGCCGCCAACGGCTCGTCGGCCAACGGCCTGTCCACCAACGGCACGGCCAACGGCGCCTCGGCCACCAACGGCAGCGCCGCGACCTCGGCGACGGCGTCCCCGCTGGCCACCCTCAAGGCGCGCGCCAGCATCGGCGCGTCGGCGGCCTCGCCCGGCTCCTACATGTACACCAGCTCGTCCAGCCTGCTCAAGGGCACGTCGGCCAAGCCCGTGCCGCCGCCCACGCTGCCCAAGTACACCAGCACGACGGCCATCACGTCCTCCATGACGGCCTCCAACAGCCTGGCGGGCGTCGGCGCCTCGTCGGCCAGCTCCACGTACCGCCTGGCCAGCCTGGACCGCCTCGCGCAGCGCCAGCGCCTCTTCGAGACCACCACGGCGGCCGGCGGACCGCAGGGCCCGCCCCCCAACGCGCCGCCCCCGGTGCCCACCACCGTGCCCGGCTCGGGGGCCGCGGGGGCGGCGGGGGCCGCTCAGACCCCGTCCAACGGCGACCTGGTGAGTAGCGCGCCGCGGAGAACGCCTTGCACTGTAGGCAAGCCCGCGACTCGCGGCCGTGTTGCGGGGCGGCCCAGCCTCTCCGCCACAGGGGCTGGCCCGGGCTGCTACTGGCTGGCCGGCCCTGCCCTGCGTCCCGCGCTCGGACTGAATGGCAGCCTTTGACGAAACGCCCCACGCGAGCAAGGCCACGGCGCCGCCGACACAGGGGCCTTTCTTCTCGGCCCGTCCTCGTCTTCGCCCTGGACGCCATTCTGTGGAGCGATTCCCATTGCGTCGCTCTGTCTCTCTCGCACCCACAGGCACGCCCCTTGAGTGCGAGAGTGACAGAGCGACGCTGGCGGCCGCGTTCCTCCGGGCGCTTCTCGGCCTTGGCTGCCCGTTTTCGTCCACAGTGTGGTGGCCGATGGCCCGGAGCGGCTTGCCGTTGATCGCTGTCTCTCTCGCACCCGTTGGGCCGTTCTAGTGCACTACTGCGTGCACTGCGTGCTTGGCTCCCCGGTCAGGTAGGCGCCGCACCGTGCCGCACCTCGTCGCGTTGCGGTGCTCCGCCACTGCTACCTTGCTGTCCGCCCGCGAAAACAACAACAACAAGAAAGCCGCGGGAACGCGCAGCCCTGATTGGCTTTTACACGTTAGCACTCCTCTCCCGATAGGAGCCCTATTGTTTTCGGTCTGGCACTTTTCAAAAAGTATTTTGAAGAAGAATCTGTGGGGGTTGAAAAATGCACGCTCCCTGTGATGTTGGAAAATAGTCTGCAGTGCTTTGTCCAAGAGAGTTGTTGCTGTTCGGTGTGGTGATCTCGGAGATAGATGTTGCTGGAAATGGCGCGGGCCCGGCTGCCCCGTCCGCTCTGACTGCTCGCAGTGCGGATTGAGACAAATGAGTGCTGCAGGCTGCACATTCCGTTCCAGCCCTGCCAAGCCCTGCCAACGGGTGCTTCTGCAGACCGAGAGTCGTCGCCCCGTCTCTCTCGCACTCGCGGGGCGTGCCGTGTGGGTGCGAGAGAGACAGAGAGAGTGCTGCTGGCGGGCGTCGTGGGTGTTCTTTTCGCCACCGTCATGGCCTGCTCGGCGTGCTGGTGCCGCTGCCCGGCGGTGGCCAATTAGACCCTTGACGATGTTCTCCCGGCCGGTGTCCGGGACTCTGGTCTATTTATTTCGAGGTGTTTTATTCGGTCGCTGGAATGAGTCTGGTTCGATTGTTGTTGTTGCTGGTGGTGGTCTTGTTGGCGGCGAGGCACAATGGCCGGCCGGGTCGCGTCGCCGTCGCCGTCCTGTTGAATTACCTGCCCGACGGGGTCCTCGACGAGGTCCTTGCTCTTGGGGGGCGTGGTGCGCGCCGTGCTACAGGCTCGCCCACTCCAAGGCCTCCTCCCTGAGCCCAAGGCCCCAAGGCCGCGCAGTGGGCCAGAAGGCCGGCGAGGCGGTCAAAACCCCGGACGCGTTTTGAGCTCCAGAGTCGCTAAATAGGACTCGAACCGAACGTGTGACCCCACCAATGGATTCCTCGTTCGGAGAGCAATCCATTGGTGGGGTCACACGTTCGGTTCGAGTCCTGTTCAGCGACTCTGGAGCTCTGCACGCGTCCAGAGTTTCGGCCGCCTCCACCGGTCCTCTGGCCCACTGTGGGCCGGAAGGGCGAGCCGGAGATGCGTCGGCCCGGTCCGGAGACGAGACGCACTCGGCCGCGCGTCGGCACTGCACGGCACTGCACTGCACTTCGACGGCCACGTCGCGTCGCTCCGCCCGCCGCGCGCCGCCCGCACCGGAACCGTGTTCTGCTTGCTCCGCCGGATTGACAAGTCGCAGCGCGTGCGTCCGGCCGTCCGGTGCGGCCAGCACACTACACTGACTCCGAGAGTCGCCTTCGTCGCGCTGTCTCTCTCGCACCTACACGGGACGCCCCATGAGTGCGAGAGAGACAGAGCGACGAGTCTCGGAATCAGTCTGCAGTGGCGTGCCATGGCATGCTTGGCGGCCCTCCGGATGCGTGGGCGACGCTGCGCGTCCGCGTCGCGACACTGCATAGACAGAGTCCTAGGCCTCGGCGCGGGGTAGCGCCGCCCGCTGCGTGACTTGGCGTGCGGCCAGCGCGCTACCCCTCGTCGACGGGGACCCTCGCCGTGTGTCGCTGGAGACCTTTCGGCCGATTGCTTCGGCCCTTGCTGGAAGTCGGTCGCCTTTCCCCACAGCTGCCGCCGACTGCCGCTCCGTGCCGCTCCGAGGTCGTTTCCGGCCCTCGCCGCAAATCACAAAACGAGAACAGAAAAATTCATAGCGTCTACACTGGATCTTTTGTCTTCCTAAAAAACTTAATAATCCACGCCATGCATGCACGCCGCTCGTAACTTCTCCCCCCGTCTACGAAGACACGGCACCATAATCTCTGGAAAAGTTGCGTTATTTGTGGTTGGCTGGTCCCTTGAGGACCTGGATGGCGGTGGGGGGAGGACGTGCCTGTGTGTGTTGTTTCTCGACAGTAAAGAATGTGTTTCTCTGTGTTGCAGGTGAGTGGCGTTAGTGTCGGAGGAGCAGTGAGTAGCTGGGCTGGCCGGGCCAGTAGAACGTCATTCCAGGTCGGATTTTTCACCCTTTTTTTAACAAGTTACATTAAACGGGAACGAGAGAGTTGAGGATGGTCGTGTTTCCGCTGCAGCCGTTCGACTCGCTGCGAGCTTTGATTAAAGTTCCTTTCTTGCTTTGTATAGAAACACGTTAAATTTAGAAAGCGGTTCCCGCTGCTTCTGTGTACCTTTGGGGCTTGTCTACATATCTGGAGGTTCATCTCTCGGATGGATGGAGGTTTCCCGACGCGTTTTCGCGCTGCCTTGGCCTGGCGGTTTTCTCACGGCGTACGCGCGGTAGTACAGTGTAGTAATGGGTTTATCTCGGCGAGATTATTATTATTGTTGTTGTTGTTTGAGGCTCCCGGCATGTCGGCCACGTAATTGCAAGCAAGGCTAGACCAATTCGTACATGTTTTCCTTGGCGATGGGCAGAGCGAGGCACAGTGGGCCAGAAGACCGGTGGAGGCCGGCAAAACTCTAGACGCGTTTTGAGCTCCAGAGTCGCTAAACGGGACTCAAACCAAACGTGTGACCCCACCAATGGATTGCTCTCCGAACGAGGAATCCATCGGTGGGGTCGTATGTTCGGTTCGAGCCCCATTCAGCGACTCTGGAGCTCAGAACGCGTCTAGAGTTTTGCCGGCCCGCGTCGGTGTTCTGGCCCACTGTGGGATAGCCGCGGTGCGCGCGGTGCGGTCGGAGCGCGGCAACTTTTAAAATGAGATGCCGGGTAAGGTACGGGGGCGTGTATAGCAGTGCACTTACCACGCGAACGGGGCGCAAAATTGAAAATTGTCTGATAGGTAGCAGCTGGCTGTACGGTGGTTGTCTTTCTCTCTCGCTCTTTCCGGTCAGTGCCAGCGAGTGTTCTCTTTCTGAATGGGCGCTCTGTTCGGTAAGCGAAGGCAGCAGCAGCGCGCTAACGCTCCACATGTGGGGGGTCTGCCTGCGCGCGCAACCGGCCTGCAGTTTTCTACTTCGCGAAAAAAAAATTAAAAAATAAATTGGGTGACTTTATTGCGCCTGGCCTTTCCCGCTTTACTTTTATCGCTGCGTGAGGCCCTGCAATGGCCCTGCAAGCGCCCTTTTGCAGGTTGTTAGCTCCCTTGGCCCTCCGCCCAGTGGCCCCGCGACGCCCCGCGACGCCCCGCGACCTACGCGGTCCAAAAGGGCCCCCTTGCCGCCCTTTTGGGGCCCCTTTGGCCCCTACCCTCTTTTTGGACGGCCGTGCACGCCCGTGGGCGTAGCCAAGGCGTGGCCACTGCATCCCGGCTCGAACCGAACGCGTGACCCCGCCAATGGATTCCTCGTTCGGAGAGCCATCCATTGGTGGGGTCACACGTTCCGTTCGAGTCCCACTAAGCGACTCTGGAGCTCAAAACGCGTCCACAGTTTTTGCCGCCTCCACCGGTCTTGTGGCAAACCCACTGTGGGCTGTGGGTGTGAAGCGCTGATAAGTGGGGCTCTGCTGCGCCACTGTACACACTGTGGTGCACACAGTGGCGGAACTAGTTTTTGGCCTGGCCGTGCCCAAGGCTGTGCCAAGGTCGCCTGGGGGCTGGCGGGGCTGAGCTCTCCACTGGAGGGCGGGCCGGCGCGGGTCTAGCTGTCATGGCACGGTGGCGGCGGCCGTTGCCCGCCCCGTCGCCGTCCCTGTGGTGTGGTGGTCCCCGTCAGTCGTCGCTCGTCCTTCCCCCCGCGCGGTGCGGAGCGCGGAGCCGCGGAGCACGCCGAGGGTCGACGACGCCGAGGGTCGCGGTCGTCGCGGTGCTCCGAGGTACGCCGTCGTGTCGCCGCCGAGCGCAGACGCGCCTGTCGATGTTGGAGGCCGCCGTCGGGACGACAGGTGCAGGCTGTTCGTGTTGCGGCCGATAGCTCCGCCCCGAGCCGCCCTTCTTCGCTCCGTCTCTCTCGCTCTCACGGGGCGCCCTGTGTAGGTGCGAGTGAGACAGAGCGACTGTGACCGCCCTGCGCCCGCATTCGGCTGCCTGGCTGGTTGGCTGCTGGCCCAGTGCGATAGTGCTCCAGTTGTGCCAACTTGTGGCTGTGATAGGCCTGCGCCTGCACCGGGTCAACCGTTGCGCTGCGCCCTGCCTGCGCTTGACAGCCCGGTGCACAGTGGGCCGGAAGACCGGCGGAGGCGGCCGAAACTCCAGACGCGTGCAGAGCTCCAGAGTCGCTAAATGGGACTCGAATCGAACGTATGACCCCACCAATGGATTCCTCGTTCAGAGAGCAATCCATTGGTGGGGTCACACGTTCGGTTTCGAGTCCCATTCAGCGACTCTGCAGCTCGAAACGCGTAGATTCACGCTTAACAGCGTTGCAGTCAGTATTTAATTTTGCTGCTCGTGGTTCGCGTGGCAGCTCGCGCCGTCTCTGCTGGAGCCCCTCGGGGGTCTGGGGGCCTCGGGGCCTCGGGGGGCGCCGAGGCGTGCCTTCCTTGCGTGACCGTCAAATTGTCCCGTGATTTGTCGCCACGGCGTGGTGCGAGTCGCGCGCAGGCTCGCCGGACGGGGAGCGAAGCTAGTTTCATTTTACGGCCACACCTCCATTTAAAAAAAAAAACTTTTTAAAAAAAAATTTTTGTCCGACTTCATTTTCTTTGTTATAAAATTTTTGTTTGTTTATCTTTTATGATGATTGTGTTTAATTGATTTCTTTTTTTGCCCGCGCCTTGCTTCCGCCTTGCCCCGCACTCACTTTGCTGCACTGGACTCTGGCTAATGACTGTGGCCTTTCCTCGCGCGCCGAGTGAAATGGCGAAATGGCAGTGTCGTGGTGTCCGTTTCGCGAGTCGAGCCGGTGTCGGCGACGCTGGAGATTTAACCTTCTGCGATGCGGGCTTAGAGGCGGGGGGATTCATTCCTCTCTCTCTCTCTAATTGATAGTGTGTGCCCCTCCCTCCCAGGCGAGGCCCTGTCCCTCCTTATCCAGACGAGAGGCTGCCGTGAATTAGGATTGATTCCGAGAGTGCCCGTCGCTCGCCCGGCCCGCCGGACGGCCGGCCGCTGTAGTGACTTCCTACTTAGCCGCCCTGCCCTGCCCCGCCCCGCCCCGCCTCGCTGATGACTAGAGCGGCTTACCGGGGCTCACCCCTTCGGCCTGTCGGGTCGGGTCGGGCCGACGCGTCCCAGAGCGGTTACAGTGTAGCGGCCGAGGTTCCCGACCTCTACCTTGGCCCGTCCGTCCCTTCAAACGCCCAATGATTTTACGGGCACGTCGCTTGCGGCCGGTCCCCAGCCGCGGGGCTGCAGACTGATTCCGAGAGTCGTTTTGGTCGCTCTGTCTCTCTCGCACCTGTACGGGACGAAGCGTGAGTGCGAGAGAGACAGCGACGAAGCCGGCTCTCGGAAATCGGTCTGCGGGCGCTAACTCGCGCTTTCCTGTGTGCGTGCCTGGCGGGGTCCTGGCGGCGGGGGCCTCCCCCTCTAGTTGGTTGCTACTTGCCGCGCGAGGGCCCCGCCGAGGTACCCGTGTCGTCTCCGCGTGTCGTCCACGGCCATGGCCTCGGTCGCCTCCTTGCCGTCGTGCTCCGGGTCTTGGCCGCGGTCCGGCGCGGCGCACTCCGTCGGCAGGTGGCGGCGCCTGTCGTCGCGCGTCCGCCGCGCGTGGCGGGCCGGCCGCCTGGCCAGGAGGGCGTCGTCGGGGTGCTTGGGGCCGTCCGCGCACTCCGACGACGACGAGCCGGACACCCCGCCGTACGCGTACGCGCCCTCGCCCTATTCGTTGCGGACCTCGCCGTCGGGCACCCCGTCGCCGCGCGCGCACCGCGGCTCGCCTCCGTCGACGTCCCCGTCGAGCTCCCCGAGCTTGTCGCCCACCCTGGGCCGGCGCCTGCACGTCGGCACCATCCGCACGGAGCCCTCCATCCAGGAGGAGCTCCAGGTCTTCGTGAGTGCGCGCTGCGCGGGCTGGGCCAGAAGACCGCTGGAGGCGGTCAAAATCCCGGACGCGTTTCTAGGCCCAGACTCGCTAAATGGGACTCGAACCGAACGTGTGACCCCACCAATGGATTGCTCCCCGAACGAGGAATCCGTTGGTGGGGTCACACGTTCGGTTCGAGGTGGGCGTTTGGGTCCCCATCCCCGTGCTGTCAGACAGTGGCTGAGACAGTGAGACTAACGGCGTCCTCCTGTTTGTTGCAGCTTCAGAGCAAGCGAGAGCAGTTTTTCAAGAACGAAGCGCCGTCCACCCCCACCATGCCCGGCCCCACCCCCGGCGCAGGGTCCGCCCCCTCCGTGCCGCCGCCCACCGCCCCCGCCCCCTCCGCCATCAAGGAGGCCCTGGCCAAGCGGGCGGCCGAGCGAGGTAGGCTCAATGGTAATGTGTCACCCTTTTTTATTTTTTGTCATTGACCTTTGTTTTGGTTTTGTCGCACTCTCCACCGTTTTGCTTGCCAACCACCGGTCGATTGTGTGCGTCGTGGTGGCTGTTTTACTGACCCCTCTATTTCGTTGATTCAGGTGACTCGATTAACAATGAAGATAACAAGGAACGTTACAACAAAGAAAACAAAGCCCCAGAACGAAAGACAAAGGAACTTGACGGATACGTTGGTTTCGCTAACTTGCCAAATCAAGTCTATAGAAAAGCTGTGAAAAAGGGCTTTGACTTCACTCTTATGGTTGTTGGTGGGTATCTTTTGAAACTTTTCTTCATGTGGCGCATTAAAGTGTACTCTTGGAGTGAGCATTTGCCTTTAATTTCTCAGGTGAATCGGGTTTGGGCAAGTCAACGCTCATCAACTCAATGTTCCTGTCTGATATCTATTCCAATGAACACCCTGGTCCATCATTGAGGGTCAAGAAAACGGTTGCAGTCGAAACCAGCAAATGTCTTCTAAAGGAAAACAATGTGAATCTTTCATTAACTGTTGTTGATACTCCGGGCTTTGGTGACGCTGTTGACAACAGCAACTGGTAAGCAGCAGTCCATAAATTTATGTGAATTGACCAAATCATTAAGAGCTGTGTTTAAACCATTTGAACTGTCTTCACTCATCAGTATCTTGTTTTTTTTATTTCAGTTGGGCTCCCATAGTGGACTACATTGAATCGAAGTATGAAGAATATTTGAATGCTGAATCTCGAGTTAATCGCAAAATACTCTCAGATAGCAGAGTGCATTGCTGTCTGTATTTTATTGCTCCATCAGGACATGGGTTGAAGCCCCTTGATGTTGAGTTCATGCAGCGGCTACACGATAAAGTCAACATTATCCCAGTTATTGCAAAGGCTGATACAATGATTCCAGATGAATGCAATCTTTTCAAAAAACAGGTGTGTTTGTTATATGAAATGTGTGGCCTTAGCATATCTTGGGATGTCTTCAAGATGGAACCTTGACCATGTTGTTTTTCTTTTACAGATTCTCAATGAAATTGCACAACACAAAATAAAAATTTATGAATTTCCTGACACTGAAGACGAAGAGGAAGTAAAACAACACAAAGGACTGAAAGATCGTGTGCCATTTGCTGTCGTGGGCTCAAACACTGTCATTGAAGTTGATGGAAAGAAATTAAGAGGACGCAAGTATCCGTGGGGTATTGCAGAAGGTGAGAGAATTTTTAGCCTGTCCTTAGCATTTGTTCCTGGGAAAAGCATAGTCTGTTAGAGTGGCTGTATTAATCTTTTCCAATGTTTTCCAGTTGAAAACCTGGAGCACTGTGATTTTATTGCACTGAGAAATATGCTGATTCGGACACATCTACAAGATCTCAAAGAAGTTACCAACAGCGTCCACTATGAGAACTATCGCTGCCGGAAACTGGCTGGCCTTGGGACTGATGGCAAACCAGGAAGAATATCGAACAAGTAAGTTGAATGAAAGATGAGAAAATGATTTTTGCTGTGAAGGTGAAAAGTGTGTGGTGACAATTTGGCCATTGATACAATATGTGAGACATCAGAAGTGTCGGTCCCAGTAGGTCTCTCTGCGTTGTAGTTGTTGCTCACAATCATATCCCAGCCTACTTTATACAGAGATGTGTGGTATTTTGTTTGGTTACCAAGTTTAGATACCAGGTCTAAAACCTAACTGGATTTCTTACATCTTTCCACATCACCTCCTCCCCCTAGATTTCATTATTTGCCATTTCATTGAATTAATAGGACCTTTCCCATTCTACTGAATCAGTTAAAATCAGTGCATGGTTCATTCTCTGTAAGGACAAGTTATTCTCATATTAATGCTTATGAGCTTTGGGAGCCTTAGTGGGGAATGGATTATTTGCATGTTAACACACTTCTTTCGAGCTGCCAATGGAACTCAATGTTTCCATAATCTGGACACAAAGCTCTAACTCAACTATTGCTAATCATTGGCCTGATCTTCTTCACTGGCGAAGGAGTATGGCTCACAATGTGTGGCTCTTGTCTCACGCATGTCGTCTCCATCTTAACTGCACTCCATCTAAACAAGACTACTTTTCATGAAACCAGTTTTGACATCTTCAATGAACTGGTCAATACTAAAACACATTTTTTTCTCAGTGTGGCCACTCAAGGAGTTATGAACAGTTTCATGACAGTCTGGTAAGTGTTGATAATGTCCTTAGGTGGCTCGGAATGTGGTTGTGTTTGCTCTGCACTGAGAAGTGTGTTGCCAATTCAACAATTTAGTTCTTTATTTTTCCTAATAGCACAAGAACATAGTCTAGCTACATTGTCAAATTTCCATGCTCTATTCAGTTTATTTTTTAACCAAATTCTCTTAACTCTTTTTTGTTTAGTTCTTTAGGTTTAAACCTAACATTCCAAAGTTACAAATTGGTAGTGTTGTTTTTAGACTTTTCTCTATTGTGTAAATACACTTCTCAGGAATTTTGCTTCTCTGAGCGTTCCATTCTATGAAACCGTGGACTTGTTCCTGCTTGCGCTTGTCCCCTTTTTCGTCTCCTAGATGCATTGTCTCACTGTCTGCTGCTCTCTCTTTTCGGTAGCTGTAAGATATCACATCATCCACTCACTTTTCATCAATTGTTGGTTGCAACATCCTAAATATTCTCACTTCCATCTCATCGTTGATACCATTTCAATCAACACACTTTTTCACACGCATAGGGTTCATGCATTCTGAGAAGGTATGCAGTGTAACCCTTCACCCGTCCTGGGAATATTACAAAGTCAAAGTTACACTGTGGCCTCTATTATTTTTACTAGTTATTTCACTCACCAGTCAAGTGTACAATACCTCACAGAACCTCACTTGTCAGTGCACAGGTGCACTGGTAATGTTATACACATGTGAGCATCCTAGGAGAAAGTGTCTATGCTATTTTATTTATTCTTTCAGCTTCAAAATATCTCCTTGATTCCCGTCTATATACATTTGCATTTTAACAACATGCTGACTATTCTGTCAAGAGAAGCATGTACAGGCATGCTTCAAAGCATTACCAATAAAACTTGCATGATTATTTTCTTCCAGTCCTGTTTTCCTGTGGGAAAGTGTCCTCTCTGTAACTCGCTGTGCTAATTTGTTATCCAGGAACCCTCTGGCTCAGATGGAAGAGGAAAAGAGAGATCATGATGCCAAGATGAAGAAAATGGAGACCGAAATGGAGCAAGTCTTCGAAATGAAGGTCAAGGAAAAGAAACAAAAGCTCCGGGACTCTGAAGCAGATGTGAGTAGTGCTTCTCTAGGTCTTTGTGCCTCCTTGTTCATATTTTTGTAAAATTTTCTGGTATTTATTGAATTTTGTTTGTTCTCAGCTCCAACGCCGCCATGAGCAAATGCGAAAGTCCCTGGAACAGCAGCTTCGAGACCTTGAAGAGAAGCGAACAGCCTTCGACAAGGAGAAGCAGTCCTGGGAACAGCAGAACGGCGTCACCTTACAGGAGCTGCGTCGGCGGTCATTAGAAGCCAACAGCAAAGAGTAAGTCTTATCCTTTTTATTTCTGTCTCTCTCTTTCTCTTTACCGAAAGTGTTTTTTGTAGACACATTTATCGCAGACAGGTGTTAAGCATGGTTGGTCTTGCATGGTGGTCAATGTGGTTAAATTTGCTCCGTTACCAGTTTAGAAAAAAAAAATTCTGCATTCAGTATCTTGTATATGTTTACGTAGTCACCTCCCTTATGTTGATTGGGTATGGTATGGTTTGGGTTTTGCCTGTGGTCAGTACGTTGTTCTTTTTCTGCAGACAGTCTATCAAGCACAGACCCTTCTTTCTGCTGCCGCTGCCTTCAGAATCTTCCACAGATTCTGATGATGACTTTTGAAGTTTGAAACTAGGGTTTATCCAGCCAAAGAAAACATTTTCAGTATTTAGATGTTCTGTACTGAGTGATGTTGAAACTATTGCTTTTAGCACAACTTGGAAAATATGGTCTACTTTTTCTTTATCTCCATTTCACTTCAATTTTTTTTTTAGCGGCTATGTTTTTAATTATAGTCACATTAAATATTGAAGAAATCTAACAGTGTTATACACTCAATTTTTCTCATGACCCCTAAGTGGAGTGGAAGCTTTCAAATGATCCACACTTTTGGGGTTTTTTACCCCACATTTAATTATGAGTTGATGGCACTTGTGGGCTGGCCTGTATATGATGAAATTCCCTAGGGAATTCTATTTATTAAGCTGACCTTTGATCTTTGAACTTTAAATGTCATCAGTTCCTGTGCAAGGTCTGGATGTGGCTGCAGCTACAGGTAGTCACTGTGGAGGGGGCTTGGCTTTTAAATCTGCTTCCTCTGCAAGTTATTTTTGATGCTTGGGTCCTTCATATTTTTTTCCGTGTTATTATATTACAGTTTCACGTTCTTTTCACAACCAGAGCACCATCTTTTCTTGAACTCGATTTTTAGGCGATAAGCATTGTAGGTTCCTCCCAAATAATTTCAAAGGGGTCATTTTTAAATTCTTCACAATTGGTCATCACGTTGACGTTGTGCATGTGCTGCCTGTATGTGTATGTCTGAATGTTGTCGCCCACTCCACCCCTTGTTTCGCCATCCCGCCACCCTTCCTACTCCTCTTGTAGTGTGCGTAGCTGCGTAGCGTTGTGGGTCATGTCGCCCTCATGTCATGTCCACAGGAATGACATGTGCTCTGCCGACGACCTTATGGCCCTGCCCTCAAAACCCAGCAAGGGCGGTCCGAACGCCCCGCGCAGACGTCACTCCTTCCATCACCGCAACATGGCCGCTAATGCTAGCGAGTGCAAGCAGCAGTGACATGTGGACATGCTTTCTCTTGTGCCTTTCATGGTTCACTCTTATCGTTTTATTTTATTTTTTTGGTTCATGTTTCGTTCATTTGTTTATTTCATTGACCTTTGTGTTGTATGAGGTTCCCCACTTCATTGAGGGATCTAGTAATTAGCAACAGTATTTATTATTATTTGTGCTTGCGATTTTTGTAGTGTTTCATGTATGTGTTCAGCATCTAGTGCCTATGTATGACTGTAACATTATTTTTTGTTATCTTTGTGGCCATATCTTAATTTCTTTTAGTAATTTTTAATTTTCCTAATTGTAAATGAACTGTTGGTATTATTTTACTTCCTAAGTGCTTGTTCTGTGTGCACTGCAATGGCTTTGCCAATTAATTTTACTGAGGCTGATCTGATGTGGCTTGTATGCTTTTTCAGGTCGACCAACTCCATGTTGCAGTTTATTCGTAAAGCTATGTAAAGCCTGTAAGCATTTGATTGCTCCTTCCACAGAAGAACTTCTTCTGTGCCTTCCTGCTTAACATTGCTCCAGAAATTCGTGAGATGATTGTTTGCTTTTTCACTCTGATGTGTAATATGGACCTTTTAAATTTTGATTAAGACAACCTTTATGTTCACATTCCGCTCAGCCTGTGTGCCTGCTTAGAAAAATTGTGTGTTTTTATGAAATGCCACTGTATGATTATGTTTTGTTGCCTAGAGGCAGAGCTGTTTTACTATTTCTTCAATGTGTTAGACCATTTAAATTTTTCACGACTTTTACGAAGTTAGTAAATATTTGCATGGTACACGACCCAGAGTAACTTAGGTCTTGAGACCAGGGCACCTTTCCCTGTGTCATTCTTAATTTTTATAGTTTATAGATTTGGCTTTTTAACTTGTCTTACCTTATATGGAAGTTTGTGAGTTTTATCCCAGTATATTATAAAGACTGACACAGTGAAGTCAATTCATTTGTTGTAAGGCTACATTTAGTTTTAAAATGTGCACAACAATAGTGCATGGTTCTCAAATAATTCTTGTACATATTATTTTTAAAGGAATTGAATCTAATCCATCTCTGTGATTATAGTAAAATAAAACTTTATTCAATAAAATTGACATTGAATGAAAATCGATGCTACGCATTTGTGGGTGATACATGTTCCATCATGCTTTCTACACATGCTTTCATTTGTGCACATCAATTGTTTGTTTATAATGAATGATGCATGAAGGGTTTTTGACGTGGCCTACCAAAGATCAACCCTACCTTGCTTATCATCGGAATACTCTACCAACCAATCTGTAAATAGATCAAGCAGAAAGGAGGGTGCTCCAGGTTTTTTGAAAAGGTACCAAATCTGTATATGCTTTTGGTGATGGGTGTTCTCGGTAGCGACTCGATACAGTAGCAATGTTCCTTTGTTTGTTTCTTGTACAGAGGTAAATTTTTGAAATTTTTTTCACAGGTCCAGACATGGTTAGTCTGGGGCCAACATTTGATAAATTATCTACAGGAATCAAGTTATTGCTGAGATTTATTGTTCAGTACAACTTACAGTTAATATAAATGTACCTTATCACTTCACAATTAAAAACCTACACTAACTTCAGTTCACTTGATTCGCAATAAAATTTCAAAATTGACCTCTTTAATGTTAAATTTTTTGTGCCATGGTTTCTAAACATTCTCTGTTTCTGTTACAGGATGGTGGATGGAAAAGAAAAGAAGAACAAAAAGAAGGGGCTCTTTTAAAACTGTTATTATTGGACCAGATAAATCTTTAAAATTTCAGCTGTATGCTTGTGGACAAAATTTGTGTTGATCACAAATTGATTTGTAAATATTGATTCTTTTATCCATTTACTTAGCCTTCTTCATTTATGACATTTCTTTTAGAAATTTGTTTTTCTTGTGATGTTGATAAGTTTTGCCCACAACCATGCATCTTTTGATTTTGTGTCAGTGCTCACCTAGCCATAATTCTGTGGAAAGCTATGTACAAAGATATCTTGTTGGTTTATTTATTCTTTTATAATTTCTTCTTAGCTGTTAAGAAATAGAGTAGATGTTTTATGTTGACCGAGAGTTTGTATATAGTATAGCTAAAAAGAAGAAATACTTTACACTCAACAGTGCAATGTGGCGAATCGATCAATGATTATTTGCTTGATGTGACAAGCACTTTTAAACCAAAGGAAGAGAGTATTTTTAAAACTTAACTGAAACCCTCTATCTTAATCAATTCTATTCCTCAACACTGCCGTTATAATTTTTTTCTCCCCCACATGTTTTTAACTCACGAACTGAATTACCAAATTTATTTTGCCTTGTTTGGACTCTCTTGTTCATTTCAGGACCCTGTGTATTATTTACTTTTGAAGTTCCTTGTGTAGAACTTCACTATGCAATCATTTGATGCCATCACACACTAGAATTAAATTTCCCTCACAAATGTTTAAATGTTGATAACTTTATGCCAATGTTGCTGTAGTGTCATGTTTGTATTTCGAAACCTCTGACTATGTGATTCTTTTTACCTTCCTATTCCATTCAGTTAATCATGTTACCTTCTTAAACCTGCACCACTAGAAACAATTAAATTAATTAATGTTTGATGAAAGACCTGAAGATCAGTATAAGGTGCCAATGTTAGAAAGACATCTTGTGACTTTTTTTTCTCAGGTGTGTTAAGACAAGGTCTTTCTGTTTGTAAAGTTGGTATAAGTATCTCAATTGTGATGTTTATACTCTGTCATTATTGCTAGTGTCTCCCGTGTTAATATGCTGGAGTAAGTTATTACAGATAAAGACCTATTAATTCAATCAAAATTTTTCATTTGCTCTAGACTTGTCTGAGCACTAGTTTTCCCAAGTGAGAGTGCTCATTCCTATAGGCCCAAGTGTAGTTTTGATTTAGTATCTTGTATCTGTATGCATCAAATTTATTACTGAAGCTCATGAGTGGAAGAACTGAATGCTTTAAACCTAATCAACTGCATTGTTTACAAAATGTGCATTGTATAAAAAAACAATACTTTGTTCTGATACTCGTATTATCGTAAAAGAGAAGTAGATTTCATTATTATCATTTGTGTCATATTCATTGATTTAGGCAATAAAACAATTTTAATACAATACACGGTCGTTTTCGTTCAACCAAGCACTTACCCCTTCCCACCATTATGTACCCTAGATACAACTGGGGAAGATTCCTTCGAAACAACTGTCGATGTCCTTTTGAATTTCGCGCCCATTGCGGTCTCTCTTATCACGTGCTTCCTCCAAGTCACCGTTCACTTGACGCTACTATGAGAAATTCAGTGATGTTTAAACATCATTCGAATCTTCAAAATTCACTACTCAGCCCCAAATTTTAAGACAAATGGTCTTTCTGCTTGTAAATTTACGTTTTGCTCAATTGAATAAAAAAGCCTATTTCATTATCACTTTTATACGTAGATAATAAATGTCGGGGTAAGTCTGTGTATAGCGCGAAATTTGTCATACTGAGAGAACTGGATGACAAATTTCAAGGCACCCTCACGACAGTGAAGAAAAAGAGGAGGAAGATGATGTAAATAAACAAAAAGTAGGATGCGAGGGGTGAGGAACAAGTCTGATCGTGTTCGCAACAATGGAAAAGATTTGGACGGGCTGAATTCCGAGGTGAGATTTGATTCAAGTTAAAAAGTGTTCCCTGAAGGTGTCCTTCCCACTGTCGTATCGCTTCCTCCACATTGGCCTGGTCCTTGCGGCTTCGGTTGCTAGGGACTTCGCTTTCGTTCCTTGTGAGGTGTCCCTCTACTTAATTCATTCTGACTACAAGTTTGGAAAATGAACCTTCCCCTCACCGCCCCAGCGGTTTGCTTCAATGGGTAGCTCTGTTCTGTAAGAAGGCCTGTCTCCCGAGGTTGCTGTGCTACTGCCTGGCAAAGCACTCTCTGCTCGATCGTCAGGTTAGACGTCCTTTGCAAGTCCTTGGCTTGGGAATAAGGAGAATGCTTGTTTGCCGGCCATAGAGTTGGCAGACTACGAAGCCTCGTTTGTCTATTCGTCTGGGAAAATTGTCTCGCTTACCTTTGCGCAGTCGTTGCTGTGAGTGTCGATATGACCATTCCTTTGTTTTTTTTCTCTCGACAGGTGCCCCTGGTCATGCAGTCCTCACCCCTCCATCAAAACGACTTTACTGTCTGATCTCATGCGCTGCGAAGCATACCAGAGTAGAAGCATTTGTAACTTGCCATTGCTTTGTGTAACGCTCATGTCTTCCTGTTCAATGTGTAACTTTAACTGCCTATCGAAAGACTGACCCACCCACTGTGTTCAATATTAAGTACGGTAACGCACAAACTACTCGTCAACATGAAAGACTGCAACAAGAGTGAAGAGGAAGATCCGTTTCAACCAAGCGCCCCCATCTCAACGGGTACACTCCCCAGATGGGCACGACGACATCATCACCAACATCTACCCCACCACCATCATCACAGTGAGTACCACCAGAGCTGTTTTGCCTCCTCACAGCACTCGTCTTTAGTCTGTCAGGCCTTTTTTTTTTTTTTTTTTTTTGGTGTGTGGTATTGATGGGGCCATGTCTTTCCTCCCCTGTTGGTACAACCTGCAGGGCTGCTGTGTGTACTTTGTACTTTGTTGAACCCCCACTGCTCGATGACGGCATGACGACGGTCTGATGGAGCCCAGAGGCCCAGAGCAGGTTGTACAGTCCGCGCGCCAGCACCCTCGTCGCTCCGTCTCTCTCGCTCTCACGGGGCGCCCCCTACGGCCCGCAGGGGTGCGAGAGAGACGGAGGGACTGCTCGGTGGAGCCCATACGGCCTACGTCCCACCCCGAGCGAGCCTCCGCCGCTCCACCCACCACCCCAGCACTCCCCTCGAGTCTTGAGGGTCCTGCCCGCGCCCTGAGTCCTGTGGGGTGAAGGTCTGGGGCACCTGTGCGCGCTGTGCTGTGCTGTGCGCCTACACTCTCTGGCTTCGCGCCTCGCGGCTTCGCACCGCCGTCTAGAAGAACCCCGACGGCCCTGACACTCGTTACCTTACCAGTGGTGGGGCCGCGCTGCCGCGCTTGAAGCCTAAGCCCAAAGCCGTTCGCGGAGGGACTTCCCTCGGCCCGTCTTCCGTTCACTGTTAAACACCACGCGATTTAGGGACGCCCCCGGCCGACGCACTGCGCCTCATCGGCATGCCCCGCACGCCGCACCTTCGCTCTGTCTCACTCGCACTCACGGCCCGCCCCGCAGGGGTGCGAGAGAGACAGCGCTAGAGGGCTGAAACTGCACCCCCGATGCACCCTGCCAGTGCAATGGCGATATCGATCCCCGAATGCGTGTGGGTGCGTCCCTAAAGACCTCGCGTCGCACCCTGCGAGAGAGACGGAGCTACACTGTTGGAGTCTGCCGCGCGTGGCCGAGACGGCGCACCGCGAGGGGCACTAGAGGGGCACCGAGGCCCCCGATGGGGCCGCAGATACACCGCGGCTGATGCGTCGCCAGATGTGCAGCGGCAGTAGCCACCGCCCCTCTCTCTCGCACCCCCTAGGGACGACCCGTGAGTGTCAGCGGGACAGAACGACGGTTCAGCTTCAGCCAGCCTGCAGCCAGCAGCTCGGTCTTGGTGACGCAGAGCTGGTCACACTTCACGCACCTGCACTCCTACACTGTCTTTCATTTTTCGGCGCCTCTGAAGCCGTCAAGCAAGTACGAGAAAGAGCCCGACTGCGCTGATTTTCATTTCGACCCGCAAAATGGTTTGCTTGCTCGAGGGTTCCTTTTTGTGGAGCGATAACCCTGCCTGGCCGTGCCTGGCAAACACACACCCACACGTCCAGTCCATGGACTCCCGCGCACTCTCACACACGCACACACACGCCCTCGCCTGTTTATTCGCACTCGTTTCGCCCTGGCGGGCTGGCGGTGCCAAATTGCGTTTCGTGTGCAGCAGTCAATGAAAGGCTGTCCTCGTCGCACGCACGGCAACAGGCGGCGCGCGAGACAGAGACGGAACAAGCGGCGATTGTTGTTGGAAACCCTAGATACAGACTAAAGGCACTGGCGCTCTCTGTCGCTCTCGCGGCGGGTCACGGGATGGACAAGGATGGCGCTAGGGCTGCGTCCGAGACGGCCCCAGGGCGGCTCTCTCTGTCTCTCTCGCACCCTTACGGGCCGCCCCGTGAGTGAGTGAGTGAGTGAGAGAGAGAGAGAGAGAGAGAGAGAGAGAGAGAGGGAGTGGCGCCCTTTGTGGGTGTGGCGGTTCGTGCCGCCGTGCAATGCAAACAAACCAAACGCAGGCGGCCATTGAAGCCAGCAGGGAGGGACAACCAATGGGGACAACGCAGTGACGTCAAGCTGGGCCGTTCGAAAAGTACGCCCAGCACGCGGCGTCGAAAGTTTGTCTCCTGGCACGCCCCGCAACGTCCCGCAACCAGAGGCTCTTTCTGGGAGTCCATGTTGTCCTCGTCAGGATCGCACCCCATCCACGTGCAGTGTGGTCTCTCTCGCACTCAGGGGGCGTCGCGCAGGTGGCCGTAGGTGCCCCTATGGGTGCGAGAGAGACAGTGGGCCGGCGGGCCGTCATCGCGGCCGGTCGGTGGTCCTAGCGGGGCGTCGGAGCAGCCGGTGGCAACTACTAGGGCCGCCCCTGACTCTCGCAGCCGTTCGGGCCGCTGGACGGGGCGGCGCTGGCGTCGCGCCGTTTTGAGTTCTTAAAATCAAGACAGTTTTTATAGAAACCTTATTTAGACTCAAAGATGTATCGTTTCTGATAGAAAAAAGTACAAGGAATCGATTGGCATGCATGAAATTCGCCGAAAACGACCAAAAACTAATAATAATTGTAAATATACGTGAACAGAGCGACCCAAAAACACGCCGCGGCAACCTATTTTCAACTTTTTAGTGTATAAGAAAGCCTCGGATTGGTATACATGCTGCGAGGGAGTTGTTCCTCACATTGTAACGAACCATTACCGCTAGGTCCGATTTTTCGATATCAGCCTGGAAAATAATAAAACGGCCCTGAAATATGACGCCAAAATGGCGGCCGGAGCATGTACCATTTACAGGCCCAAAAATATAGAAGTAATCGTTCGATTTCGAAATCTATAACCGTCCTACGCCATGTGAAATTTTGTCTAGTTTCCGAATCTGTGCTCGGATTTGAGATACGTCAAAGGATTGCTGAGATCCAGATGGATCCAATTTTCATTGCAGAGGCCCGGCGGAAACCATCATTTTGGCAACATGTTGAATATTCGTCTTATATGTCTTGTCGTGTTGTCGAGACGACATATTAACATTCCGCAGTACTTACTGACCCTATTTTGATACTCTCGCAGTGACTAATACGCTAAACGTGTTTTATTCAACGATTATTCGGCTATTTTTCAAACAGTTTCCGACTGTGAAATTTTTCATACTTGGAGAGCAAAGGGCATAGGCTGCTGCCGATTTGCAACCATTTCAGTCTAATTAATAAGGTTTTCGCCTATATATCGGTGCGAGAGTATCAAAATAGGGTCAGTAAGTACTGCGGAATGTTAATATGTCGTCTCGACAACACGACAAGACATATAAGACGAATATTCAACATGTTGCCAAAATGATGGTTTCCGCCGGGCCTCTGCAATGAAAATTGGATCCATCTGGATCTCAGCAATCCTTTGACGTATCTCAAATCCGAGCACAGATTCGGAAACTAGACAAAATTTCACATGGCGTAGGACGGTTATAGATTTCGAAATCGAACGATTACTTCTATATTTTTGGGCCTGTAAATGGTACATGCTCCGGCCGCCATTTTGGCGTCATATTTCAGGGCCGTTTTATTATTTTCCAGGCTGATATCGAAAAATCGGACCTAGCGGTAATGGTTCGTTACAATGTGAGGAACAACTCCCTCGCAGCATGTATACCAATCCGAGGCTTTCTTATACACTAAAAAGTTGAAAATAGGTTGCCGCGGCGTGTTTTTGGGTCGCTCTGTTCACGTATATTTACAATTATTATTAGTTTTTGGTCGTTTTCGGCGAATTTCATGCATGCCAATCGATTCCTTGTACTTTTTTCTATCAGAAACGATACATCTTTGAGTCTAAATAAGGTTTCTATAAAAACTGTCTTGATTTTAAGAACTCAAAACGGCGCGACGCCAGCGCCGCCCCGTCCAGCGGCCCGAACGGCTGCGAGAGTCAGGGGCGGCCCTAGTAGTTGCCACCGGCTGGTCGGAGCGTGGCCGATGGGCCGATGCAGACACCGTGTGGCGGCCGTGGGGCCACCCTGCCTGCCACCGCGGCGGGGCGTGGTGGGCCTGGTGGGCCGGTGGCCTGCGTGCACCGCCGGCGCCGCCCCGCTCCATGCTCCGCCATGCTCTCAGTGCGCGCCCCGTCCACGCCGCGAGCAGACGACCTCCGCGAAGCACGCGAAGCGCCCAGCGGAGCGCGCGAGGCACGCGAAGGAAGCGGGAAGCCGCGCGGACGGCGCGGAGAGCCGAAAGCGCACTCCGCCGTGGAGCAGAGGACCACGACGGCGGACTAGGGTCCCCACCTCGGTTGGCGGCGAGTGTTGAGGTTGCCGTCAACGAGACCACCGAGGCCAGCGTCAACGAGGCCGTCCGAGGCCGCTGTCGACGAGGCCGCCGTCAAGAAGGCCGCCGTCAAGAAGGCCGCCGTCAAGAAGGCCGTCGTCAACGAGGTCGCCGTCAAGAAGGCCGCCGTCAAGGAGGCCGCCGTCAAGAGGGCCGCCGTCAAGGAGGCCGCCGTCAAGGAGGCCGCCGTCAACGAGGCCGCCGTCAAGGAGGTCGCCGTCAACGAGGCCGCCGTCGACGAGGTCGCCGTCAACGAGGCCGTGGCCGCGGCGCCGCTCTGGAGGACGCATGACGCCCGATGACGCGTCGCGGTCCGCGGCCCGGCGGCCAAGTGGAAGTGACAGCAGCAGGGCGTCGGCGGGGCGCCGGGGACCGCGCCGGGGACGGCCCGCGCGCACGCCGCGCACGTCAAGATGCCCGTCAGGACCAGGAACGCCGCGCGTCGCGCCCGCGGCAGGCACGCGGCCAGGACAGGCGGTGGGTGCTGCACGTGTGGCCAAGCAGATTTTAAAATATTACTTGTACAAAAACATCTTTGAAAACCCGATATGAGATCAAGTTAGTCGGTAAAATAGTGGAAGCAGTTTGGTTGATGCCGTGCGGAACGTCCCCCGTGGCGCCCAAGCTGCGCGCTAGCTAACGCTTTGCCCCGCGGTCCAGGAACTACCCCCTCGGCCCTCGGTTCGAAAGTGTCTTCCTTGTTTCCCGCAATCTCGCTTATGGATGGCCTCGCCTCGCCTCGCCTGGCCCTCGCGCCGGCTGCGTCTGAGCACCCCATTCATTGCCAGTGGTGTGGTGGCCGCGTCCCTCCCCTCGAGCCTCACGAGTTTGATCAAAAAGTGCGAATTTTTGGCGGGCGATTTTGAGGAACCCCTCAGCGCCGCCCTTAGCGAGGCCAGCCGTGCGTGGCAGATGGCGTCCTCGGCTTGGTTCGCAGTGTGCCGACTTGGATCGCCACAAATCTGTCACGATTTGCCATAAATCTGTTGACCGGTGCGTGACGATTCTTTGGGCCCTGCTGTCCTGCAGACTGATTCCGAGTGTCGTCGCTCTGTCTCTCTCGCACCTGTACGGAACGCCCCGTGAGTGTGAGAGAGACAGGGCGACGAAAGCGACTCTCGGAATCGGTCCTGTGGCCCGAGGCCCTGCCCGAAGGACATCCATCTTTTCGCATGTTTATTTATTCATTTTCCCTCGCGTGGCAGAAAGTTTTGTCGTTTGATCTGCATTACACACAACACTGTGTTGCTGGCCGGTGGTGGATCTGTGAGGCGTCAGGTCCCGCCCACTCCCATAAGCTGCCCCCGCACCCCCGGCCTCGTAAAGTGCCACAGTGGATGTTCTCATGTACCTCATTGCGCTCGCTTAGAACACCTCCGTGTTGAAGCACGGCCGAAAATGTCTACAGCACCCTGGAATTAATTGTGACAAAAACTGCTTTTTTTTTCGAAAATCTTTCTAAAGCTGTTGAAGACGTCTAATAGTTCCCTGTCTTGTTATCAACTTGGCTTGGTGTTATCACGATGATGGTTCTCGTCAGTGGTCCTTAATCAGACACGATTTTCGTAAATGGTCAAACGACACCAAGTTCAAGAGTTTTTTTTTTTATTTGAAAGTTTTTAACATATTATTTTGCAACGCAGATGTGAGGGAGCGGCGGGAACTTATTCATTTGATGGATCTGGCGCGGCCTTGGCGGCGAACCAGCCGCGTCTGCACTGCAATCTGCCATTTCCCTCTCGCCTCCCTCAAACCCTCAAATCCAAACCGACGCGAGGAGGCGGAGCACCGCGGCGGTTTGATTCGAATCTCGCCGTTCGTAACCTTACACACGCACGCACACTCACACACACATGTTCTCATAGACACACATGCACACACACACACGGGCACGTGGTGCACTCTGGTGGGCGCGCGGGGCGGGGCTGGGCGGGGCGGATGTAGCCGTTCAAGTGGTGATTGAGCTGAATATAGCACGGCCGGGCTGGCTAGCTGGCTGGCCTGCACATCCTAATTGGCTTGTTTTGGTTTGGCCTGCCTGGCTTGCCTGGCTTTGTTAGTCTGGCGCCGCCCGACCGGGGGGAAAGGGGGGGGGGGCTTCTGTTTGAACGGAAGTGCCGCGAACAGACGTCTATAAAACTGTCCGCGTTGTATGGACGGCCCGGTGGGGACGGTGGGGTGGGGTGACAACAATCCCCCCGCTGTCCCTTTGGCCAGCCTTGCCTTTGGCTAGACGTTGGCTTTGTGGCTCGGCGTGCAAAGTAAATAAATAGACTCTGGCCGAGTTGCAGTCACTGACCCAGTGCGGAGACGCCCCGCGCGGGGTATGCGCGGCGGCGGCGGCGTGGCGATACCCCGCGCCCCGAGGGACGCCACGACGGCGAGACCCCCGGGAGGGAAGTCCTTGGCGGCCTGCGGCCCTGCGCGTCGTTTGGGGTCCCTTTCGGGTGCAAAGGTCCTGGGCGGCCCTTGGTGGAGCGTGAGGGAGGCCCCGTGATCCATCAAAGACCCTCGGCTGCACTCTCAGGGGATCCCGGGTGCGCGGGGGTGCTTGTCGGAGGCCGCGGATCTTTGGCATGGCGTCGCAGCGTGGGCGATCCCCGTCGTCGGCCACCTCGCCGATGCGAGCGATAACCGCGCGAAATTCACCCTCGAGGCCATGGTCATCCCGGTGGTGCCCATGGTGGTATTTTTGGCGGTCAGGTTGGTCATCCTGGTGATGGTCATCGCGGTGGTCATCCTGGTGGTGGTCATCCTGGTGGTGGTCATCCTAGTGGTGGTCATCCTAGTGGTGGTCATCTTAGTGGTGGTCATCCTAGTTGTGGTCATCCTGGTGGTGGTCATCCTGGTGGTCATCCTGGCGAAGGTCATCCCGGTGGTTCCGGCCGTGACGCAGGTGTGGTTTCGCAGTGTGTCTGACAGCGCGCGAAGCCCGAACCGTCTGTCATCGTCCCCAGGAGGGGCGGTGGCGGGCAGTGGCGGCGCCAGGGCGGCGTGCGAAGAGGTCTGTCTGTCTGTCTGTCTGTCCGTCCGCCTCTCTGGCAGGGCCAACGCCGCTGCAGGTGCGACGAAGACAGACAGACGATCGCTTCGCGTGCTTCGCGGTTCGGAGTTCGCGCCCCTAGACAGTCGGGGCTTTTTGCTTTTTGCAAGGCGCTCTCGGAAAAGGACGGGCGCGTTTGTTTGGGGGGCGCTAATGTACAAATGCCTCCCCCCCCCACTCTCCCTCCCTCTCGCTCTCTTTGAGTCACTCCACACACACACACGGCCAAACTCACACTTACTCACTCGCACTTATACCCCTGCCTCGTACTCTCGCACTCACACACATGCAATCACACACACACACACACACACACACAGACACCCTCCCCCCGGATCCCCCCGCTGCCCCGGTAGACACCAAGGCCCTGCTCGCCCTGCTCTGCCTGTTGTGCTTTGTCAGGGGTTCAGTTTCCCATCGGTGTCCGCGGCGAGCTGAGCACCGCGCGTGTCGCTGTAGTTCCTTCGGCGTCGAGTCCGTGCTCCTCGTGGTGCTCCTCGTGGTCGTCGTGGTCCTCCTCGTCTTCGTCGCCGTGCCCAATGCGCTCCGGACACTTTCCCCGGTCGCCGGACCTGTGCCTCCTGGTGGCTGTCCTCGGTAGTCCTTGGTTCTAGGGTCGGGGTCGGGGCCCTTTTAGGGTGGTCCTGTTAGAGTCGAAGTCCTGTTGGGGTCGGAGCTCTGTGAGGGTTGGGGCCCTGTTAGGGTCGTGGTCCTGTGAGGGTCGGAGCTCCAGAGTCGCTAAATGGGGCTCGAACCGAACGTGTGACCCCACCAATGGATTCCTCGTTCGGAGAGCAATCCATTGTTGGGGTCACACGTTCGGTTCGAGCCCCAGTTAGCGACTCTGGAGCTCAAAACGCGTCTAGAGTTTTGGTCGCCTGCACCGGTCTTCTGGCCCACTGTGGCGGCTGGCGGGGTAGTCCGCGCTGCCGTCCATTTCCCGGATTGCCTCCTCGGCGCACAAAGGCGGCGTTGTGGCGCCCACAGTGTGCCCCACAGTGCGGCCGTTCCAGGCCCAAACGGAAGCCAGCAGACCGATTCCGAGATGCGTTGTCGTCGCTCTGTCTCTCTCGCACCCATACGGGACGCCGCAGAGTCCGAGAGAGACGGAGCGACGAAAGCGACTCTCGGGATCGGTCTTCGGGAAGTCTGCGAGGCGTGCGGGAGTCCTCGCGCCATGCATCGCGTCCCGTTTGAATGCACGCGGCCTTGCCGCCGCCACGCCATTGTCATGTTTTTATTCCTCCCGTTTCCTGGAGGCGTTTCGCGCGACCCGGTCGCAACTCGTCGCCCCGTGTGGGCAAACATTCCCACGACGCTCCGGCGGAGTGCAAAGGGTTGGCTGACCTTTTTGACAACGGTGCTTGGCGGCGATTTCCGCCCTTGTGGCAGCGCTGCCGGGATTTTGAGAGGCGCGCCGCGGCCCAGTCCGCCTGCGAACCCCAGGGTAGGCCAGCCCGCCGCACTGCGCTGCCGGGCGTGGGAGCCTACCCCGAGTCCAGCGGGCGTTCTAGCGCTCAGCGCGGCGGCAGGCGCGGAGTTTGATGTGCCTCTCTTTCGTTTTACGCGCTGCTTCAGGATGAGGCACTGGGCCGTGGAGAGTTGGCTCAAGGGCTGGGCCCTTGGCTCGGCCCTTGGCTCGGCCCGTTCAAGGTCCCCCAACGCTCCGCGAGTCAAGCGGAGGGCGAAAGGGCGAGGGAAGGCCCCTCGACCTAGTGGCGGGACGGGACGCCGTCCGAGACGCCGTCCTAGGGCTTCAGTCTCGATCAATATACTTCACTGCTGGGTGGACCGTGCCAAGGCGGAGACTCAGATTAGCGTAGTCATCTCCCAGACTCTGGGTCTCTCAGTGGGCCAGAAGACCGGAGGCCGAAATTCCAGCCGCGTTTTGAGCTCCAGAGTCGCTAAATGGGACTCGAACCGAACGTGTGACCCCACCAATGGATTGCTCTTCGAACGAGGAATCCATTGATGGGGTCACACGATCGGTTCGAGTCCCATTTAGCAACTCTGGGGCTCAAAACGCGTCCGGGGTTCCAACCGCCTCCACCGGTCTTCTGGCCCACTGCGCGTCTCTTGCTGCCAAACTGGCGTATAAAATACTGACGGGCTGGAGGGCTTTGCGGTAGGCCGATAGGCATTTAGACGGGGAGGGGACAGACTAGCTAGGCGAGCCAGGCCATGGCGCCCCCGAGGAACGTGCGTCGGCCCAGCCTGCTGACGAACGGGTCAGTGTACAACCGTCGCACCAGCATTCTGCATAGAGGTACCATGCAGACGCCCGCCTGCCCGACCCCACACTAACAATTCATTGCTATCATCGTTATTTTGTTAAATAATTTTTTGTGAGCATGTTTTTTGGAACGCCAGTCTGCTTGGAATGATCTGCGCCGCGGCTTCCCCGTGCACCTCCGCCTTTGTTTACTGTCTGCACCACCACACTGTGCGCTGTGTGCGTCGTACTGCCAGCCCCCCGCCAGACTCGGAGGCAGCCGCACTAGAAACAAAAATTACAGAACGACTTTGTCGGTATTCGAACCCCAACCCCGGTACCTTGCTCGACAGCAGGGCGGCTTGTTGTTACCTCGAGGCCCACACTGCTTTTACTTTTTTACTCACGCGAAATGCCCTGTAATAAAGTGCGAAGTGTTTCTCTCAGTCTGTGAAGCGCTCCACTCACGTTTCGTTCTCCGTTCTGTTGACAGCCCACACCGTCGAGTTCGACGACAACGATGCCTCTCCGTCCGCGCCGCCGCTCAACCTCATGGACCAGGTGTTCGGGTACGAGAGCGTGTCCTTCGACGCCGGTGAGTCTTGTCGTTTTGCGTCTGAATGTCGAAAAGAATAAAATAGAATGGACTTGGCAGTTTGTGTTTTGCGTTTATTTACAAGTGCATGCATCTGACCGAATCTAGGCGAAAGCTTGCTATGACGCGCGTTCGGGCTTCCGCTAGACTTCCCCAGGGCTCTCCGAAAGCCCTGGCCTTTGACGGCGCGTTGCGGGAATGCCCCCTCCCGGCGCCTCGCCTCATATCCCTTTGAAATGTTTGTTTTGGTTGGGATGCTGGTGTGGCCGTCCCGTCGGTGGCCGAAGTCGCCCCGCCAGTGTGCCGGCCAGAGGGCCAGAGGGGCGTAAAGTCCCTCATATTCAGTTCCGCTTCCCCCGCGATGGCCTCCGCGTCGTGATGGACGAATATAAAATCCAAGTATTGCTAGGGCCGCTTTATGGAGAGTGCGTGGCGCAAAGAGAAGGTCGATCGTAAACTGCAAGCTTTACTCTGCTACCAAAAAGAAATTATTTGGCTAGAAAAAAATTTTGGAAGTGCTTTTAACAGTGGTCGTTCCGTCTCCCTGTTGCAGTGAACGTGCCCCCTCCTGAGGACCCTCCACCCCGCAGCCCGGGTGAGTCCGGCTCCCCGGGGCCGTCCGGAGCGGGGCCTTCCGGCGATGGCGAGGACGCGGCCGCCAGGGAGGCCCGCGAGGCCAGGGAGGCGGCGCGGGGCCGCTGGGGGACCACCTTGTCGGAGCAGGAGGCCCGCACCGCGCTCCTGGCGCACGTCAAGAGGCACTGTTGTTACGGCGCCTCCGCCGCCCGCAACATGGCCATCACCGCCCTGGACCACGCCTCGGCGCTGCAGGTAACTCACTCGGCCCGCGTTTCAAAAACGTTTTCAAAAAAAATTTCTTGTACTGTATAGTGTGAAAAAAAATTCCAATCTTTTCAATTTATTTTTTTTTGCAATTTTTTTTTTTTTTCATTTTTTCCCAACTTTTTCAAATTTTTTTTCCAATCTTTTCAAAAACTTTTCCTAATCTTCTTGAAACATTTTCCCAATGCTTTCATTTTGTTTTTTTTTTTTTAAATTTCTGTTTTTAAATTTTTTTTGTTGTCTGGTTGTCAGTATTCGCTGGAGACGTTCACGGAGAGGCGCGAGACCGCCTGGTCCTTCAGCCCGTACCTCGGGGAGGAGGTGGACGGCGCCGACAACGGCCCCGCCCCGCTGCCGTGGCAGCTGGAGGTGCACCCCAGCCAGCCCTTCACCTCGGAAGTCAAGTGCCAGCCCGTGCCGCACACCTCGTCCGTCAAGCAGTGCCACCGCTGCAAGGGCAGCGGCTCCACGCTCTGCGTGGACTGCCACGGCAAGGGATGGGTGAGTAGCTGCAGTGCGGTGCTGGCTCACTCTTTGTTTCCTCGCTGCTGACCTGTTTTGTCACGTTTTTAAATTATTTTCATTTCACTAGGTACACTGCATTTCATGCCACGGGAATGGATACGACACTGATGCATCCGGATACAAAGAACGCTGCTTCTACTGCCATTCCTCGATTCACGGGCGGGGGCGACAGGACTGCGTCAAGTGCAGTGCCAAGGGGAAGATGACTTGTCCGACGTGCGAAGGAGGGGGACTGCTTCTGTGCTTTATTCAGCTCACTGTTACATGGTAAGCGAGTGAGATACAGGGTGCATGGGCTGATTAGCCGTTGATGACTTACAAGCAACTCTTATAAAATTATTTCTTTTCTAGGCGGGTGAATGTGTCGGAGCACATAGTGGACAGGATGTCTGTGCCAGAAGACCTTGTGCGGAATGTCACTGGAGCCATAGCATTTGTCGAAGAGGGCCCCAGAGTTCTGCCGATTGCACATTTTCCTGATGAAACCATCAATATGGCCTCTGCGCAGCTTTTGAGGGATCATGAACGAGATTTCAGCTCTCAACGTATTCTAGCACAGGTAAGCCAAGCTACTTTCAGAGTCACTTTTAAATTTTTTTTGCCAGTCCAGCTATAAAAAGAAATATTGTAAATCATTCACAACATGGTCTTCATTTTATTTTCAGCGTCACCAGGTGCAAGTTATACCTGTGACTGGGGCAACATATAAGTGGAAAAGCAGCAAAGGAGAGTTCTATGTTTATGGCAATGAACATAAAGTGTATGCTCCTGACTACCCACAAACCTGTTGTTGTGGATGTTCAATTTTATGATCATTGTGAAGATGTTCCCTCTTGCCATTATTATTATTATTATTATTTACACAAACTATTGTTGAAAGCAACCTGAAGTGTTTTCTAATTCATAATTTTCATTGTGATTGATTTGTTGTTTAAAATTAAGTTTCTAAATGTACTGTGAAAGTTATTTGATATGTAACGAAGTATCTGTCATACCAGAGAGAAAGAAAGAAAAAATGACCAGTCCAAAAAGGTTCAAGTGGGTCGGGTCAGCCTGTTATATTGAAGCTGTTTACTGATTCAGCTTTCCAAATTAGATTATATTTTTTTCAAACTTGTTCTTTACTTTATAGATATATTCTGAAACACAGTTACTATATTTGCTAATTGTTCACAGTTTGTTGTTCTGCTGGAAGCTTCTTTTGTGCTAGCTAATGTTCGTTTTCATTCTAAGCTACTGCTTTCACTGTTTTTCAATCAATTCCCAATTAAGTGCTTACTCTTAACAAATGTATGTGTTTCTCCCCTGTATTGATGTTTTCTTTTCTTCATCTACACCTATGTACTCTCCTATATGTACTATGGCAATCTTCATCTTATATATGTGTGTAATGCTGAAACATCACCTCCAGCCAGACATATTATTTCAACTCTGGTGTAAGACTGACTTTATGCATTCTGTGCTATGTGATGAGCTTTGTAGAATCCAGATGTATGTATATTTGTGATTATTTTGTATGTAATCAAATTTTTATTTTTCGTTGACCCTTTTTTGTGGTCAGTGCAAGAAATATTAAGTACAGCTGATCTCTCCCATAGTAAGCTCTAATGATTGTGCAATGGGTTACATATTATTATATGTAAGTGATAAAAATACTTCCATGACAACTGCTATTGAAGTGTTCAATCTCAAATTTTTATTTTACTCATGCTCTTTGCATGAATGTTGCTGTTAATCTGTAAAGAAAGAAAAAAATGCTTGATGTGAAAAATAAACACATGCTTATTTTAACACTTTGTTTATTGAAAAAATAAATCCCAATTCCCTTTACAGACTAATACATCTTTTAAACAGCCATAATCATTTCTATCTTAGGATGTGGGTTGTAGTCAATCACTTCAAAATCTTCATACTTGAAATCTTCAATACTTGAAACCTTCCTATTTATTCTGAGCTTGGGGAAGGTCCTGGGCTCTCGCTTTAACTGTTCTTCCAAAGCAGAGATGTGGTTCTTGTACACATGAGCATCACCCAATGTGTGAATGAAATCTCCAGGCTATAAGAATAGCAACATTGTAAGAAAGCAAAGAAATTCCAGTCATAAATTAAAATAGAAAATCACAAGTCTCACCTTTAAATTTGTTACATGAGCAATCATGTAAGTGAGGAGAGCATAACTTGCGATGTTGAAGGGCACTCCCAAACCCATGTCTGCTGATCGCTGGTATAACTGACACGACAGTTCGCCATTTGCCACATAAAACTGCACAAGACAATGACAGGGAGGAAGTGCCATCTTGGGAACATCAATAGGGTTCCATGCGCACATCAAAATTCTTCGGTCATCAGGCCGATTTTTTATTTTATCAATAACGTCTTTGAGTTGATCAACGCCTTGGTTGGTGTAGTCTGTGTGCATATCTACATATGGGGCTCCAAAGTGGCGCCACTGGAACCCATAAACAGGTCCCAAGTCACCTGAAAAACAAGAAATGAGGTTTAAAAATAAGCAGAATAAAAAATATCCCATGATACGCAACTTAAAATATACCTTCTTCTCGATCAGTAAAACCACAAGAGTCCAGGAACTGCCTTGAACTATTTCCATCCCAAATGTTGACTTTCTTTTCTTGAAGTTCTTTGGCATTAGTTGAACCCCGAATGAACCACAGAAGTTCTTCGGTAATACCTCGCATAAAAACTCTTTTGGTTGTCAAGAGGGGAAACGTGTCTGAAAAAACAAATGTCTCTGAGGGTCTTGCAGGGACAAGAAACCTTCCTGATTGATTCAGAAGACAAGAACAAGAAGCAATTAAATTATTGGACATGCAACTAACCATCTCTTAAAGAAAACCTCATTTGGGCTCCAAAAATAGAATGGGTGCCCACTCCAGTTCGGTCTCCTTTGACATTTCCTTTCTGAATAATGGTTTTGATGAGGTTCAGGTACTGATGCTCATCGTGTGTTGAGATACCATTAGTTCCATTTTCATGAATACCGTTCGAAGACATTCTGAACTGTTCAGGAAAACCGCAGAGAAACTCCTTAGACCGAGCAACCGGCTCACTTGCCTGATAACAACAACGGGTTTTCGCGCCCAAAACGATTTGCCTGAAAAATCTTTGAACCAGCATGTATCTAAGTTAAAGTGATTTCACTGTGAGATTGAAGAAAAAGAGACATCGTTCTTGGAAAAAAACGACGCAAAATTAATTACGTCTCAAAGGAAATAACTCCATGGACGTCATGGCCGTGCACTTTCAGGACGGTGGGGTGTTTCGTGATCTGAGGTTGGCAGCACCGAGTCAGGACTTTCGGATGAGAAATATTCTGATACGCACAATGAAATTTTTGTGAATTTTTATGAGGATCCCTCTCACAAAACATCAGCATGAGCCATGTTTGGCTGAGAGTAAACAAGAAGCAAAGAAATATCAAAATATGATATTAGGGCATGTGACTCGTTCTTTACTCAGGTTTAATTTGAAATTTTCATGTGAAAATTGACATTGTGTTGTAGACATGTGAAAGAGGTGGTGGTTGAGTATTTTGAATGTTGTGGTTGAATGAAAGATCTCAAGGGAGAATAAACTCCGCGATTGTGGCATTCGACTTCCCTACCATCGCGGGAATATCTTCCCAGAGACCTGTCCACAAAAAATGACCGAAGCGACCACTTTCCCGCGACTCGCCAGTTCAGTTGATATTTTCTCCACGAGATGTCACTGCCATCGCCATTTCTAACCATTCATTTGCTCCATTCCACACTAAAGTTTTTTTTTCTATTTGTACTTTTTCTCTTAATTTTACCTTCTATATACATAAAAAAAATCTTTTAATTTTTTAAAAAAGGTAAATTAGCTTGTCCGCCTCATATTGCAACTGACAGTTCTTCATTTCAAAAATTAGTGTGACTGTGTAGTGTACATGGCACAAAATGTCAATTTTCACTGAATATTTCGTGTTAAACAAAAAAAAACTTCTTTCAAATGTTTTTAATGAAGTCATGACCTTTCTAACCATACTATTAAGAAGTCTTAATGTTATTTATTTTGAAAGATCAACCTGATCACTAACTTATATCACACCAAAAACAATACTCGTTCTCCTCACCACCTCTACATTTTTTAGTACAGTGAGGTAAAGAACGAGTAAAAACGTGAGCTACGAGTAGCCAAAACCCCTGAAAGGATTTCGCTTCAAAGCCGAAGCTGACTACAGGTGACGACCCTTGCGTCAGTTCAATGTTTTCATACCCACCCGTCGCGCGACTGTCACCAAACGCGCGCGGGATTTGAATTCGGTGGGACGTGCGTTCCGTTCCGTTCGGGGCGGGGCGGTCCACCCTGCCGTTTCCGGGTTCCACTTCCGGTCGAACGGAACCGAAGGCGGAAGCGGAACTCGCCGATCTTGAACTTCCCCAAACCGCGCAGATCCTTTCGGTTGGCGATGCTGGCGCGTGACAACAAACGGGCCACCCTTGTTTTGGCCTTCTTTCCCAGTGGCGTGGTCGGGGTCATGCCGGCGGCTCGGCCTCGCTGGCCTCGCCCACCAGGACCGCCACGGCCGCGATGGAGTCCTTCGTCACGTACTTCCCGGGGACGTCCACCATCCTGTTCGGCCGGCCGTGGGAGCCTCAGCCGGCCGCCCTGACCAGCGGCCATGACAGCAGTCATGTAAGCAGCTGCACACTACCATTCGGGGGCACAGTGGACCAGAAGACCGACGGAGGCGGCCAAAACTCCTAGACGCGTTTTGAGCTCCAGAGTCGCTAAGCAGGACTCGAACCAAACGTGTGACCCCACCAATAGACTGCTCGTTCGGAGAGCAATCCATTGGTGGTGTCACACGTCCACTCCTGCGTAAATTTCATAAACTTCGCGGCTTGGCCGGGGCGCGAACCCGCCGCGAGTCAACGCACTGCGTGGAGTCCCTGCCGCGGTGCCGCGGTCGCCCGGCCGGCGTTCGGCAGGGATGTTATTTGCGGAGGGAGTGTTTGGGCGGGGCGGGGCGGGGTGGCTGCGGGGGTCGGCAGGACCACGACGGCGTGGCTCTTGGCCGCCACCTCTCCGCGGCCCGGCTGGCCCGGCCAGTCAGCTGTTCCGCTGTCAGTGGCGCGGACGCCCCCGCCGAGCTGGTACACTGTCGCACCGCCGCGCGTCGCGACGTCACCGACGGGGAGGACGAGGACAGCGTTGGCGCGGTGCCCCTCCGCTTCAAGACCCCGTCGTCTTCCCCGAGAGCCTCGGCCAGCTTCCCTGGGACTTCCCTGCCGAGTCCGCCATCCCTTCCCTGGCGCCGACTGACTAGCCCCCTGCTCACGGGGGTAGCCCCCCTCCCCCCCCCCTCGCGCTCCGCGGCCGCCACCCCTGGCGTGTTGCTCTATCGCCTCGCGGCCGCGCTGGTGAGCACACCGGCAGCGCCCCACCTCGCCGACCCCAGCGCGAGCTCCACGACGCGCTCGACGGCGTGCCGCAAGACGACCGCCACACCCACCGCCAGGCTCGACGGCGTCCTGGGCGCGCTAGGGGCCGCCGCCGCCGCCACTGCTGCACGGGGATGTGTTGAGACGAGACGCGCGGCAGGTATGTCGACACTGGGAGCACTCGGATGGTCGACGGGGACCTTCGGAGCATCGCGCGTGCCGGGCCGCGGAGGTCCATGCGAGTCACTTTCCAGTGGGGAAAAAAACACACGCACCTGCATACCAGAGAGGACGTCCTCTCTGCTAATCCTGCGGAAGTTGTCTTGAACCCGAACTGGAGCCGCCCTATGTTCCACGTTCGTGGCCAAACCCCGCCACCGCCACCACTTCGGTGTGGGGTCATTGAGCGAGCACCCTCCACTCAAGCGTCGTGTGTTGTTGGTGTGCCGGTCTGCACTGCACTGCAGTGCGCTACCGGAAACGAAGGCCTTCCGGCGCATGCAATGCAGAATGCGGTGCGCTGCTGGAGTCTCCAGACAGTGTGCAGTCGTTCTGGTGGGCAGTGTGGTGGCCGGTCCTGCAGTCTGTAGGACCCCAGGTTGGGTGTGGCATTGCTGCCGCACGATGCGCGCGTCGCGAGTGGTTCGAAACCGAAGTCATGATCCTCGTCAGGAAGAAGGGCTGCTCCACGTGTCTGCTGCAACGGGTACGGCGTGGCGGCACTTTCTCACGGCCACAGTGGGCCAGAAGACCGGTGGAGGCGGCCGAAACTCTGGACGCGTTTTGAGCTCCACAGTCACTGAATGGGACTCGAACCGAACGTGTGACCCCACCAATGGATTGCTCCCCGAACGAGGAATCCATTGGTGGGGTCACACGTTCGATTCGAGTCCTGTTTAGCGACTCTGGAGCCCCAAACGCGTCTAGAATTTTGGCCGCCTCCTGAGCGAGGGGACCACCCCTGCGGCGCACGCAAGCGCGAGCAGTTGCCTACCCAAGTGACCACTCGCAAGAAAACAAATTTAGATTATATTTTAATTTTTTTCCCTTTTTTTAAGTAAGTAGTATTGTGAGGAGTGCAGGCAGAGGGTACGTAGTCGAGCCCCTCGCTAAAGAGGCTTGTCATCTGTTGCGGGCTGTTTGTAGGGCGGCCCATCCACGGCTCCATCTAGTGGCAGTCGGACAGACAGACGGACAGACAGACAGGCTGGCGGTGAAAGGTGGCGGGTCGCAGGTGCAGTCCTCCCACGCCTGGCCGGGGCGTCAAGGGGTCCGCGGGGCGCGGGGCGTCGGCGCCACCGAGCTGACGATGATGTGTTACAGGGAGGCCCCGAGGCCCCGAGCCCCCCCCCCTCCTCGAACGACCCGATTCCAACCACTGTCCCATTTTCCAACCCTCCCCAACGGGTACCACGGAGGCGTTCGTTCTCAGCCGATGTCATGCAGTGCGGTAGTTGGAGGGCGAGTTTAACGATGCGTTTCCCCGGGGCCAGCCGACAGCCCCATCTCCGGTGCGTTTCCGACAAGAATAACTCAACCGGGTGAGAGCGGTCTCTGTCGCGACAGAGATGAAACGACTCTTGAGCTTGGGAGTCTGTCTGCAGTTCGCACCCTTGGCCAATGTTGCCACGAAGTGGTCGAAAATTTGCGGATGCACCGGTGTTGACTGCTTTGCCAACCTCAGCCGGTCTCCCTCGAGAAGTAGCGCTGAGGTTGGCAACCCTTTCGGCTGTGGTGCATCGCGGGAATTTTCGCCTAGTTGTGGCAGCACTGGCCGAAGCTGGGCCATCCGTCTTTGCCGCCTGTCGCGCTGCAAAGCACGGCGAAGCATGGCGAAGCGCTGCCGCAGCGCCTCGCGTGTCGGGCGAACCTTTTGCCAGCCGCTCCAAGTTTGCCAACTGCTTTCGCCAAAATCCGAGGAGAAAACGGCCTCGCCAGCCCTGTCACAACGGCCAGCGACACTTCTTCATCCCGCAGGAGCGACGTGGCGGCCCTGGGTTCAAACACCCATTCATTTTCGGTTTCGGGCTTCCGCGCTCGACCTCCACTCAACAAGCACCGAAAATCGGCCGTCCAGGCTTGGCCGCTAGAGCGACACGGCTAACGCGCCGCTGTTCGAATCGCCTAGTGTTGCCGCCACTGGCCTCTCCTGATAAGACAAGCCTGCCAACCCACACGGTTTGGGACGAAGACCCCAACGCGGAGGGTCCGAGCAGACACCGCTGAGTTTCTCCGGCTCTGCCGTTGGTTTTGGTCCGCCTGGTGGGAGATGCACTGGCGGGCTGCATTGTAGGCGCGCGAATCCGCCGCCGCGCCGGAAGGTTGGCTGCGCTGCCGATGACGGCACACTGGCAGACGACAGTGCACTTTCGGTCCGGCGATCACCAGCACCGCCAGCACGCACTCCGTCGCCAGCAGCCGGGACTGGAAGAACAGACCGCCGCGAGGACAAGCACAGACATGTCCAAGATCATCAAGAAGATCATCAAGACGCCGCTGGCCGCGGCGCCCGTCGCGCCGTACAAGTGAGTGTCGCGGTGACCTTGAGCAGCGCGCCGACGCACAGTGGGACAGAAGACCGGCGCCGGCGGCCAAAACTCAAGACGCGTTTTGAGCTCCAGAGTCGCTAAATAGGCCTCGAACCGAACGTGTGACCCCACCAATCGATTGCTCTCAGAACAGGGAATCCATTGGTGGGGTCACACGTTCGGTTCGAGTCCTGTTCAGCGACTCTGGAGCTCAAAACGCGCCTCCCGTTTTGGCCGCCTGCACCGGTCTTCTGGCCCACTGTGCGACGACGCGGGCCTAGTTTGCATGTGTTTACGTTCGGGCGCGCCTGACCAACCGTCTCTGTCCGCAGCCAGGCCGTGGTGGCCGGCAACACCGTGTACTGCTCCGGCATGCTGGGCGTCAACAAGGACACCATGCAGCTGGTGCCGGGCGGCACCGTGGCCCAGGCCAGGGAGGCCTTCATCAACCTGCGGCACGTCCTGGAGGCCTCGGGGTCCTCCTTCGAGAAAGGTGAGGGCTGGTTCTGGTTGAGATGACCCCCTCCTTTTGCCCCGAGATTAGATAACTCTCTGGAGCAAATGGAAGTTCGTTCGGGAAAGTAGCCGCTGCGCCGCGCTGCGCTATCTCTCGAACCCGTTGCCTTCCGTCTCTGTCTGGCGCGTCTCCTGTTTTCTCTGTTTGACTGTACTTGAAGCGCTCCAATGGGCTAATCGCTGTCTCTGTCTTACAGTGGTGAAGATGACGGTGCTGCTTCAGAACCTGGACGACTTCAAGGACGTCAACGAGGTCTACAAGGAGTGTGAGTACATCGCTAGAACGCGCTGGGTACAGTCATTGCTGCAAGTGTACACGTAATAACAAACTTATGTAATTTTTGCTTGCAGTTTTTAAGCAGCCATACCCAGCCCGCACTGCCTACCAAGTCGCCAGACTGCCCATGGTGAGTTGTTGGAACCGTTCAGCAGCGCACTTGTTTGAACTCAGTTTCCATAAACTCGAGAAAAATGTGTTCTTTTATTTTTTCAGAACGCCGCCATTGAAATGGAAGCAGTCGCCCTCGTCGGGGAAGTCCAGATTGTCGAATAAACCAAATCGCCTGTAAATTTCATCATTTTTGCCTGTGTTATAGATGTTTGTCATCATATTTTTTCCAAAATTGTAAAATAAATACTTTTATATTTTTTCCTTGGTTGTTTTTTTTTGTGCTGATCCATTGTCGGCTAGGAAGAGGAAATGAGAGGGAAGGAATGACAGGGTGAGCGATGAGGTGAGTGGCCGAAGGGGTGGGGTAGGGGTGCGGGGCGGGGCCGAAACACAGTGGGGCAGAAGATCGGTAGAGGCGGCCAAAACTCGAGGCGCGTTTTGAGCTCCAGAGTCGCTGAATGGGACTCGAACCGAGCGTGTGACCCCACCAATGGACTCCTCGTTCGGAGAGCAATCTATTGGTGGGGTAACACGCTCGGTTTGAGTCCCATTTGGCCGAGTTGAAGGGGGTAATCCAGGGCCAACGCACCTTAAACTCCGATCTTATTTTTGGGGTGTGTCGTCATGAAGCGGCAGCCAAAGCAAAACAAATTACGCGAAGGAGGCGGCACAAACTGGCAAGCCAAAGCCAAAAGAACCGCGCGACGTGTCGGGGCGTGTGAAGAGCCCCGAGGCCCGAAGTGCGCCAGCCGACACCAAGCAAGCCGAGCGCCATTGCCAGCGGAAGCGAAACGCTTTACGTAGTCAGTTGGCAGCTCTGTTAATAACCAACCGCCTGCGCGGGGAGCGCGACCGAAAGCCCCCGAGGACTGCCACTTTATTTCAAACGCTGACACTAAACCTCTCGCTGCTCTGCTTCGGTTCGGTTTCGCTTTGATGGCTTTGGCAGGGCGTCCCGTCTCTGCCCCCCGGCCGGCTCGCGACTGGCTGTACTTTCCCGAAAACAGAAAAGAAAAGATAAACATGCCAATCACCGAAATAAACAAAGCTTTGCTTGGAAACAGTGTTCGCCGGCATTGTGAAGGGAGCGAGAATCATTCGCGGATTGAAACACACGGAGTGTTGTCGCAAGCAGGCTAAACTTCCCCCACGATGCACCAGTGTCGGAAGGGTTGCCTGTCTACTAGGGAGGCTGAGGTTGGCAACCCTTTCGAGTCCCGTTTAGCGACTCTGGAGCTCAAAACGCGTCTAGAGTTCTGGTCGCCTCCACCGGTCTTCTGGCCCACTGTGCGCCGGCTTCGCCAATCATCCCCGCCGATCGCAGCATCGCAGCCGTTGATCCGACGCGCTGCAGGCCACGCAGGCCGCCGTTTAGTCTGCCTTTCGGCCGGCCCGGGCCTGCAGACTCGTTCCGAGAGTCGTCGCTCCGTCTCTCTCGCACTCACTGGACGTCACACTGTAGGTGCGGGAGAGACGGAGCTCTCGGAATGAGTGTGCTTCTGGCTGACCCTGCCTTGGCGGCGGGCCAGCGCGGGCGACCCGGCGCGGACCGCGTCGGGGAACACAAAGTTCTGCAAAGGCCCTCTGCTTCCGAGGAGCGGCGGGAAATTAGAAGCCACTTCCCAGATTCCCAGGCAACCTGTTCGGATACCGACCGCCTACAGCATTTTCAGTGTCCTCCGTTGAATCCTTTGCAATCCGTACTTTTCATCATCGGTAAAAAAAATTTCTGAAAATTTTTGATTTTTTTTTTTTTTTTTTTAATTTTGATGCCAACCTCCGCGCCCTTGGTGCTTTCTCGTGCCGTGCTAACGCGAGGACGGGGCGATAATACCACCATGTTCCGCTTGAGGTGGCCAGAGGCGCCAGAAGCCAAGACCACCGCGAACTTCGCTGTAATGAAGATGAGAAAGCCAACACGTGTTTGGCACTAGGCGGGAAGAGGGTCCTTGCGGGGAACGCCCAAAACTCCCGCGCCAAAATTATGAAAAAAATCTCATTCAACGAACGTTAATGAAAGCAGATGATACTCGTCTGGTTTTCTTATAGGGGGTAGTATGCAAGCTCAATCCAAAGATAGTATTTAAAATTGTGTATGAAACAAGACCAATTGAATACACAGGCCCGAGCAAGCTAGCCGGTGTTGGTAGCCATGCCGAGCTATGGCATGTGGCATTGTTGCGCGATATTCCGCGCCGTGTCAGGCGGGGAGGGATTGTCAATGTACCATTGTTGACGCCCGGTGCCGCTGGCGCTGTACCGCGGAGGGATTGTCGAATTCCGCGCAGGCTGCGCCTCACCGCCAGCCGGCCAGACACACCAGCCCGCCCCGGCAGCCAGCCCCTATTATATTGTTAGGATACGCGCTTGGTTTCTGCACTCGAGAGTAAAAGCACGCTGACACCTTCATGTGTATAGTAGTTTTAAGTGTGTTTCAAGTGTGAAGGTATCATCTGCTAAAAAGGGCGAGTTGTGCCGGTTTCACGTAAATAAACGACCGCCTCTGCCAAAATGTTGGAGTTGGGCCGGGGTCGCCGGGGCGGTGCGGCGGAGCGTTTCGCGGGCTTTTCGCGCGTCTTCTCGGCCCTGGCATCCCTGGCGTCCCTGGCGTCCCTGCATAGTGGGCCAGAAGACCGGTGGAGGCGGCCAAAATCCCGGACGCGTTTTGAGCTCCAGAGTCGCTAAATGGGACTCGAGCCGAGGTCTAGCCTCTCAAGTTCAAGTTCAAGTGTTGCGAATAGCCTGGCGGGTAGGCAACCCTGGGGCGTCCGGGGCCACCGCATTGCCTACCCGCCAGGCGGCCCCAGAGGCAGGGAATGTCGCGTGAGCTCCGTGACCAAAACGGGGCATGTCGGTTCCAGCCGATGTGGAACTCGAAGGCGAGGGCGGTACCCATTTGCCGCAAGTTTGACGCCTGTCTCTGTCGCTCTCGGTGGCCGTGGCGGGGCGGGGCGCCAGGGGGCCCCACTTGGCGTGCAGGTGCGAGAGAGACAGGCGCTGGAGGAAGTTGGGGGCTGCGGGTTGCGGGCGTGAGGGTCGGTTAGTTGTTGGTAATGCGGCGCCCATGCCGTGCCCGTACAGTGCCCATGCAGAGCTCTCGATCCGCGTGATGGCGTGCACCGCCTGCCCGGACTGCAGACTGATTCCGAGAGTCGCGCTGTCTCTCTCGCACACGTGGGGCGAGCCCAACAGGTGCGAGGGAGACAGCGCGACGAAAACGACTCTCAGTCCGCTGCCTGCAGTATCACAGTAACACTACAAGTGCAAACTTTGACCCGCTCCGGGCGCTCCGGTGGGACGCGCACGCCGATGGCTATTTCAGGAAACCGAGCGAACCGAGACGGCGGAGACGGCTTGACTCCGGGAAATGGTATTCATCCAGCCGCGTCGTTTAGTTTGACAAGACTGCAAAATGCTAAAAAAAAAAATCAACACAAAATTGTAAAAAAATCTTTTAAAAAGTTGCAAACAAAAATCTTAAGAAGTCTGCAAACCAATTTTTTTTTCACTCACAAAAAAAATAGTTTTTAAAAAATTTACGCTTTTTTTAATTTTCAAGTTTTAAAAATTGTACGCTTTTTTTCATTCTGAAGGAGCGACTCAAGATGGCGGACGAGGGCCTGTCCGAGGCGCTGCTGGACCGGCTGGGGGCGCTGGCGGCCGAGAGGGAGAACCGCGACTACCGCGACAAGGACAGCAACGTGGAGAACCTGCGCAGCGTCGCCGCCAAGCTGCACGCCAGGGCCACCACGCAGGGTGAGTAAAACAGTGGAAAAAAATAGGCCTGCACCGGGAGTCGAACTCGGGTCCTCCGTGCTGTCAGGCGAGTGCGCTACCAACTACGCCACGGAGATTGAGTAAGCAACAACGTCCGTCGCGGCGCGTGGCCGCACGCGGCGTCGTCGGGCGTGTCGCCCCATGGGGCGCAGCCGGCGCAGCTGTCCTAGACCCTGACCCTGGCCGGAGGGGGGGGGGGGGGGAGTGGGCGTCGGCGCAGCTAAGTGCATCGCGACGACCCGGCCAGCGCGCCGCCATGGCCAAGGGCCTAAATGCAGGGGGAGGGGGCACTTGGCCCATCGCTGCGGACGAGCCAGACCGCGCCAGACGAGGACAGCGTGTCGCTGAATGGCCGAACGGCCCGTGCGTGCGCCGCCCGATAAGTTCAATCGAGATCTCGAAGCCACCCCCAAAGTCACGGCCCGCCACTGCTGCCAACTTGCAGACGCTTAACTCTCGCTGCGGAGTCGTTTTCGTCGCGCTGTCTCTCTCGCACCCTTAGGCATCCCCTGTGGGTGCGAGAGAGACAGAGCGACAGTCTGCTGCCGCGTTCCCTGGTGGGCGGCGCTGCAATTACTCGAATTAAACGCCGCAATGTTGGCAGCGCAACAATGTAAACACGGGCATAACTTCTGCGACCCGTGACCGCACTGGTCGGACTCACGCGCCAAGCGGACTGCGCTGCCCCGCTCGCCTTGCAGTGCGGGAGGCTGCACGACTGCGGATTCGCGAGTCGGCCGTCCCCGTCGCAGGGGTGCGAGAGAGACAGAGCGACGGGCTGCTGGCCTCCCGCCACCACGCCGCTTGACGAAACCGACGAAACCCCCGGGGCTCTCGAGGAACACCCCGGGCAGCGCCGGGCCCGGGTTCGAGTCCCGGCCGGGCCGGCCTCGTTGGCGTTTGGAGGGCCTCGCGTGCGTGCGCGTCGTGCCGATAGCGACGTGCCAATAACGGGCGGCGTTGCGTGCGAATAGTCATCACGGCACGCCGGAGGGGGGGGGGGAGGGGGAGGTGAAAGTTTCTTGACGCAGAGCTCTTGGCGCATCCTCCCCCTCAGCCGAGGCGGCGCGACTTTTGCTTGGGGCAGGTTTGCCACCCTGGCAGGCAGAACCCCACGATGCACCGAAAGGGTTGCCAACCTCAGCTCAGTGGTAGGCAGGCTGAGGTTGGCAACCCTGGCACTGGTGCATCGTGGGGGTCTGCCTACTTGGCTGGCAGGGAAGGGCGGTACTGTTTTCTTATTTTTTTTCTTGCAAGGTGGCGGTGCTGAAGTTTTTGCAAGGCTGCACTTCGCGCACGGAAGGAAAGCAACCCCCTTCACCTTTCTGCTGCCGCTGCCGGTCGGCCGACCCGCGGAAATTGAATTAAACTGGGATTAGACTCGCCCCGGCACTGGGAAAGTTAACAAGAATGGGAAAGTCAGTATAAATCGGTAAAAAAGAGAAAAACAATTTTCTTTTCATTTCAACTTTTGGACGCAATAGACTTAATTTACAAAGAAGAGGAGATAGTTTTTTTTTCAGTTTTTAACAACACTCAAAGCAAAATATTTTTTTAAAAAAAATATTTTTTGTTTGTTTTGAGTTAGGAGGGCGTGATTGCATCGAGGGCGTTGAGGTGGATCGACTGTCGACCTCTCGATCGGAAGGAATCGAGCTAATCGGGTTTCGACCCGCCGGCCCCTAAGCCCTCTGTTGCCCCACTGGTGGCGGTGACCTGCCCTAGACTGGCTGCCTTTGTACCCAAGGGGAAAATATGGGGCGTTCACTAATGACGTAACGTGTGTGTGTGTGTGGTGTGTGTGTGTGTGTGTGTGTGTGTGTGAGTGAGCCAGCCCTGGAGTGGGCGCTGTGGGGCGTTGCTGCAGTAGTCGGGGGGCGGTAGGCGGTAGTAGGGTGTCTGCAGGAACGGCTGTCTGCTCGCCCGCGCCACAGCACACCGCACGCCACCACAGTCTGCCTGTCTGTCTGTCTGTCCGTCCGTCCGTCCATCCGCCGCCCCCGCTTGTCACGTGATCGATGCAGTGCGAAGATCATTACTCACCGTGAACGCGACAGGTGCGCTAAATACGGCACGAGGAATTGAAACGAGGCTCCATCAAAAGGCCATGAAAAGGAGCGGCAACGAAAGCAAAACGCAAGCCTGTGGAAGGCAGTCTGCCGTTTCAACGGCTTAAAAGGAGATATTGAAATTTTGGTTTTTAAGTCCGGGCTACCCTTATACTGACCTGGACACTTTTCCGAATAATTTCCGCAGCAAGAACTCTTTTTTTTTTTGGTACCGCTTTTTGCTTTGTTGTTGTTTGTGCCATTGGCGTGCCTTTGGCGAGTCACCACGTGGGCACCCCTTGCGGTGCCTTGCAGCACAAGCGATGTTCCGAACAGCGCTCCGTCTCTCTCACGCCCCTGCGGGCCGCCCCGTGAGTGCGAGAGAGACGGAGCGACGAAGGCGCAGTTCGGGATCGGACGGGCTGCGCAGGGCGGGACGCGCGTTGACAGATGGGTTTCCTGACCACGCGGCAGGCAGTGTCTCTCTCGCACTCGCGTCTTGGCGCGGCTTGGCCGCGGTCCAGGCGGCGGTACCCCACGCGCAGAGACGCAAGGGGTAGCGCCGAAAGTACCCGACTAATTGGTCAGGAAGTGCTATGGCCCAGCGCGAGAGAGAACTCAGATTTATTTGTATTTATCGCTGGCGACCATTTTTCATTTTTCCCCGCGTGTTGTCTGTCTGGTGACGTGACCTTTTTGTTTTTTGTTTTTTTGTTCTGTTCAGATAAAACATGCAAGGAACGGACACTCTCGCTCATGAGGGCTCGACGACCTTCGCTCATTTCGGACGTCGTATCTTTAATTGAGGTAAACCATCATAAAAACGAGAATAAAATTTAAGTTTAAAAATTATCTTTGCTGTTTCTCTTTTTTAGAGTACCCGAGATGCGCCATCCCTGGCTAGCCTGGTCGGCATTCTTAAGGAGAGCGTCGCCTGTGACTACCGTAAGTAAAGCTACTTTGCCAAAAAAAAGAGACTTTTTAACGGCGTTCCAAGGGGGCCATCAGGGAAGACACCCTCGTGTTCGTGTCGCGCGTCCTGATTGGCTCGCCGTGGCGTGACCTGACCAATCAGGAGCGAGGAAAGCGGATTCCGCATCCAAGCGAAAGCCCAAGGACGCGGGTTCAAACACCCGTTGTGTGTTGCCGTTTTGCCACACCCGATGACGTCATCATGACGCTCCGTTTCAATTCCTGTCGGCCTGGAAACGTTTCGGCGCCAATAAGACAGAGTGCAGGGTGTCTGTGAGAGAGAGAGAGAGAGAGAGACGGATAGCGACGCCCCCGCGACCCGCAAGGCACCCTGACCTGCTGGAAGACAGTCTTTTGTGCCTTTTGTTCGGAGCGACAAAAGACGAATCCGTCTCTGTCCGCCAAACCTAGGAGCTAATTTGATCGCTCTGATGCAACCCCCTCGGTGGGGTGTCTGGGGGTGCAGCCCGTCTGCCGCGGGCCTCGGGGGCGGCACACTGCCACGGCAGTGCTGCATTTGTTTTCCGCAAACGCTATAAAACAAAACAAAGTAAAATGCGCCGGTTGTTGAACCCGCGCCCAGCTCACTCCCGACAGATTGCGTGATTCACCAAGCAGACACTCCCCCACCCCCTCTCCTTTCCAATCAGGGCTCGGCCGCACGGCAGCCGATAGCCCCTTAACTCCCACGAACAGGCCAAGACCGCGACCAACTGAAAAAAAAAAAAACACGGCAGGATCGGGTATTCGAACCCGCATCTGCAGAGTGAAAAATCGACGTCGCTGACCACGCGGCCGCGGCTGATCGCAAGGTGGTGGGGTTGTTCGTGGCTGAGCGCCTGCGAAGTGTGGGGTAGGCCAGCCCGCAGCGCAGCCGTGCTCGACGGGCGGGCCTCCAAGGATTCCAAGGCTTCCAAGGCCACGACGCCGCCGCGGCCAGCACGGCCGGGGTGTCGCGGCGACACAGCCACCTCCTCGGCGGTGCAAGGGAAGGGGAGGAGGGGAAACTTGTCGACGCCCCCTTATGCGCGACTCATACGACGCCCAAACTTTGGGCATCACGCACTTGTTCGTGTCCAGGAGGCGCGGCGGCGTGGCGCGGCGTGGCAGGGTGCGCCTGAAGTGGGTCAACGTGTTGTTCGGGGAGGAAGGATTGATTTCCGGTTCCGGTTGTTTCTGGGCTACGCAAGCCAAGCACGCACTCCTGTTTTAAAAATAAATTTGAAATGTTTTTTCTTTTTTCAGGAGGCCAGCGCGTAGCCGCCGTGTCGCAGTTGGTGGGCTGCAACTCGTCCACGGCCACCGCGCTGCTCCGCGTGCTGGCCACGCTGTCCCCCAAGGAGGTGCACGCGGCCGAGACCCTGGTGTCCGACCTCGTCTGGCTGCTGTACAGGATCGCCCTGCGAGGTACGTCACGCCGGTGGGGACGAGGCACAGTAGGCCAGAAGACAGGTGGAGGCGGCCAAAACACTAGACGCGATTTGAGCTCCAGAGTAGCTAAATGGGACTCGAACCGAACGTGTGACCCCACCAATGGATTGCTCTCCGAACGAGGAATCCATTGGTGGGGTCACACGCTGGTTAGTTTCGAGTCCTGTTTAGAGACTCTGAAGCTCAAAACGCGTTGAGAGTTTTTGCCGCCTCCACCGGTCTTTTTGCCCGCTGCAGATCGCGGACGCGCCGGGCCGAGGGTTCAAAGCAAGGAACAAAGACACATTTTTTTTTCGTAGTTTTATTTCTTATTTTCGAGTATCATCAGGCAGGGAACTCTAGGCGAGTGGCAGCGCTCAGAAGAAGCCGGGGGTGCCGTAGGAGGTGGACGGGGCCACCACGTGCGGGGCCGAGGCGAAGGCGGGGGCGGAGTAGCCGACGGAGGGGGCGGCGGCGAAGGCGGGGGCGGAGTAGCTGACGGAGGGGGCGGCGGCGAAGGCGGGGGCGGAGTAGCCGACGGAGGGGGCGAAGGCGGGGGCGGAGTAGCCGACGGAGGGGGCGAAGCCGACGCCTGCGCTATGACCGAAGCCGCCGCCGAAGCCAGCGCTGGGGGCGAAGCCCACCCCGCCGCCGAAGCCGCCACCGGGGGCGAAGGCAGGCTGGCCGGCCGACGGGTACTGGGGCTTGGCCTGGGCCACGGCGGCCAGCACCACGAGGACGAAGGCAACCTGCAGCACCGAGTTGGAAGTGGAATCACGAGGTCTGGGAGTCTGCAGCCCGGTGAGCCGGCTGCTGTCTGAACTCAAAGCAAGAGGTACTCACGGTGGGGTTCATGGTGGCGTCGGTGGTGTTGTTGGGGGTGTGGTGCTGGCTGGAGCTGCTGGACCCAAAGTGTGGCCCTCTGCATCCTCGCAGACTGCTTTATACTTGTCTCCAGCAGACTGATTCCGACTGGGAGGCCTCTCTCTCGCACTCACGCAGCGCGCCATCCCGGTGCGCGGAGTCATTATAGACACGCAGCGTTTAAATAATAAAAAGGGTCTTATATACACGCAGCGTGTATATTTATATACATCTTTTTTCCGCAGCGTGTCTCCAAGGCCCATTTTTATTATTTACACGCAGGAAAGTTTTGCTGCGTGAAAATAATTTTTTGGCTTTTTTTAAAACGCTGCGTGTCTCCAAGGCACCAAAAAATTTATTGGCACGCAGGATTGTAAAAAGTCTCCCTTACAGAAAAATACAGTACGCTTTTACCCCCAAAACGTACGCTTTTGGTACGCGTGGACTAGGTCGCTTTTAGTCCCCCCGACGAGGGGACTAGTCCGTTTCCCTGGCCCAAATGTACCAAAAACCGCCCTCAAAGCGTCCTAGTCCGCCCCGGGACCGGTACGCTTTTAGTTCGCTTTCGGTGACGGGGGGACTTACGCTTTTTCCCCGTCCGATTCCGAGAGTCAAAAGAGAGGGCCGACACTGGGGGAGGGGCTGGCATTTTCTTTTGAGGGCGTCGGGGCTGATGGTAGTCGAACCCCTGGCCTTCGGTGATGTGGACTCCTCTGGATCCTCGGTGTCGACGTCGCTGCCCACTGCGCTAACCTGAAACACGAGGACTGGGCCCGCAGGCGAGCCTCTTCACTGGCTCAGCGCGGCTCGGCGCCCAGCGCTCCGCTCGCTCTCAGTCTTCGCTCTCTGGAGGGCGCCAGAATAAAGATAAAAGATGCGGTTTTCGACGCGGATATCATGATTAGATACTTCGTCACAAGCGACAAGAGTGCTACGGGAAAAATTTTTTAATTTTACCCCCAGTTAAAAGGGTTTTACCCGAAGAAAACTACACGAGCTGAAAATTTCATATCGGCACTGTGTCATTGTTTTTTTACCAAAGCTGAATCTATTTAGTGACTAGATTGGCGACGTGGCATTAGTATCTTACTGGCAGATTGTTATCAGGCAGCATTTTAAAAATGTCGGATTACTTTTACCATTTTTAAACTACGGTAGAGACATAGGCTACGTAGTTCAAAGGGGGCCCCCAAAATCCCCTTGGCAAACTCTTCGCACAGGGTACCGGGGGGGAAGTAGAATGTGCGGCCTCTAAGACGACGGCAGTGCGTGTGGCCCTCGGAGGCGCACTGGGGCGCTAAAGGTTCGCGTTCGTGAGGACTGGGTCGCTTTTGGTCACCGGCAGAGCGCACCAGTACGCTAATAGTACCCGTCCAGGGCGGACTGGGGCGTGATGAGGCTGCGTTTCGGTACTCCGAGCGAACTAGTCCGCTCTGCCGGTGACAAAAGCGACCTAGTCCCTTCGCACGCGAACCTTTAGCGAACTAGTACGCCTCCGACGGGGCCCAAAGACGCGTCCTATTCACGCCCCGTCCCGGCAAAGGGACCCTTCGCGAACCAGTCCTCCTTGTTTCGATACCAAAAGCGTACTAGTCTCACCCCCGCGCACCAAAAGCGACCTAGTCGACAGGGGAGCGACCTAAAAGCGTCCCGAAAACGACCCAAAAACGTACTGAATTTTTCTGTACGGGCTTCCGACCGGGGACTGAGTCCGGCATGGCGGCTTGGTGGATGAGTAGGTCCGTGCTTGTACGGGAATTTTTTGGCCCGGGTTCGAGACTTCGTCTTTTTCTCAAAAAAATTCTGCGTGTCAATAATGAAAACCAGTGTTGTTTCAACGCTGCGTGTTTATAATAAATTCACATGTTATTTACACGCAGCGTGTCTGCAAGACCCAGTTTTATTATTTACACGCAGAAATTTTTTGAGAAAAAGGCGAAGTCTCGAACCAGGGCCAAAAAATTCCCGTACAAGCACGGACCTACTCATCTACCAAGCCGCCATGCCGGACTCAGTCGCCGGTCGGAAGACTTTTTACAATCCTGCGTGCCAATAATTGTTTGGTGTCTTGGAGACACGCAGCGTTTAAATAAAAGCCAAAATATTATTTGCACGCAGCAAAACTTTTCCTGCGTGTAAATAATAAAACTCGAATTGCAGACACGCTGCGTGTAAATAACTTGTGAATTTATTATAAACACGCAGCGTTGAAACAACACCGGTTTTCATTATTGACACGCAGAAATTTTTTGAGAAAAAGACGAAGTCTCGAACCCGGGCCAAAAAGTTCCCGTGCAAGCACGGACCCACTCACCCACCAAGCCGCCATGCCGGACTCAGTCGCCGGTCGGAAGACTTTTTACAATCCTGCGTGCCAATAATTTTTTGGTGCCTTGGAGACACGCAGCGTTTAAATAAAAGCCAAAATATTATTCGCACGCAGGAACATTTTGTCCCACATGGCCACCGTCGGTGGACGTCTGAGGGGAAAAATTCTGCGTGTCAATAATTTTTTTTCTGTTATGTGCACGCTGCGTGTACATAAAGTCCAATTTTATTATTTAAACGCTGCGTGTATATAATATTAGTCCCCGGTGCGAGAGAGACAGGGCGACGGCCACACTGTGCGGAATCAGTCTCCAGGTCGCTTCCACCGGCTGATGGGCCGAGTGACCGCAGTGCGGCCCAGCCGCCTTTCCGGTGTAGGGAGCGACCAGCTGACCAGTCGCCATGCATCGCCAGCCCACCAGCTGGGCGGCCTGGGCCCCGGCCTGGGCCCCGGCCTGGGCCCCGGCCTGGGCGACGCTCGGTTTAGGCTGTTTCAAAGGCCACCAACACCAGGTGGACGATTCTCACTTTCTTTTGCGCACTCTATTGACAGTAACCAGGTACTATAGCCTACCACAATAATACCTGGTATTTTTTTCTTTATGCAAACAATGTACTGCACAAAATTTAGGATTTTTTTTTGTCAATAAGTAACTATTAAAAAAGCAGATAATACGAACAAAAGTGAAAAGTACATATTACTGTTGCACAAAAAAAAACCAGAGTTACTATCGACGAAATGTCAATACCTCGTACTAAAAGTCAAAAATTTGTCTGCAAGTGCGCTTTTTGCGTACAGCTATTTTTGGCAAGAGCAGGTGTCCAACTCGATGTTTTACAGACGATAGTTTTTGTGTGTCTCTTGTGTCTCACTGCTGTAGGCCAAAGCTATGCCAAGCAATTACTACACATTGACCGTGCTACTCACACTGGAACTCTGGAATAAAAAAAAGTCATAGAACTTGACAAGTTCCCTCACCCTTTTCGAAACTGTTTTCCAAGGGTCGGGATGTTTTTGCGAAGGAAATGATTTAGGGGAAAAGAAGAGATACGATCTTCGATGCCCAGCCAAAGACATGGCCTCCAAGGTTTTCCACGGCAAATGATGTTCGCCATTAGGGCTGAGGGAGGAGGCGGCATCCGATCAAAACTCTCCCACTTCGCCAAATTCGCTTACTTCGATGCCCGACCAATTTAAACGGGCTGCAGCTGCCTCCCCACATTGCGGTCAGGGCGGCAAATCGCGCCGAGTATAAAGCAGTCCGCGCGGAGGCAGAGCGGCACACTTGGGTCCATCAGCTCCATCCAGCACCACATCCCTCCACCACCACCGCCACCATGAACCCCACCGTGAGTATACCTCTTGCTTCGGTCTGCAGTCCCCCAGCTCTCGTGTTTTCACCTCCAACTCGGTGCTGCAGGTTGCCTTCGTCATCGTGGTGCTGGCCGCCGTGGCCCAGGCCAAGCCCAAGCCCCAGTACCCGGCAGCTGGACAGCCTGCCTTCGCCGCCGCCCCCTCCGTGGCCTACTCTGCCCCCGCCTTCGCTGCCGCTCCGTCCGTGGCCTACTCTGCCCCCGCCTTCGCCGCCGCCCCCTCCGTGGCCTACTCGGCCCCTGCTTTCGCTGCCGCTCCCTCTGTGGCCTACTCCGCCCCCGCCTTCGCCGCGGCCCCCTCCGTGGCCTACTCTGCCCCCGCGTTCGCCGCAGCCCCCTCTGTCGCCTACTCGGCCCCCGCCTTCGCCGCCGCCCCCTCCGTGGCCTACTCCGCCCCCGCCTTCGCCTCCGCCCCCGTCGTGACGCCCGCCACCTCGTACGGCACCCCTGGCTTCTTCTGAGCGCGTAGCGAGCTACCATCTACCATCATGTTCTAGTCCAACGTCGCTAGTACCTGCAACGCCCTGCTGATGAGACCTGAAAAATAAAATACTATCCCACAATATGATTTTTATTTCCGATGCCTCGTACAAAAGTAGTCTGCTCCTAAAATATGGGGCACGAAAACCGAGACAGGAGGACGACCTCCAAAACGACGGTTTAAAGGTTAAAGATGACTCAGTGTTGTGCCGCTTGATTGCCGCAGACGCCAAGTTCTCGACCAAGGTGCGCTCCGCCAGCGCGTCCAAGGTGCTGCACGTGGTGCTCCGGACGCAGGCCAGCGGCGGCAAGCTGCTGCTCCCCGCGCTGCACATCTTCCAGATCGTCACCAAGAACCGTGAGAACTAAATCAAAATTTACAAGAAAAAAGGTGGGGAAAGTTGGGATTTGAACCAGTGACGTTGCCCTTGCAGCGGCGGTGTGCTCGGTGCTGGCGCGCGACGGCGTGGCGCCCACCCTGGAGAAGCTCCTGAGCGCCGCGGGGGTGCTCCCCAGCCCCAGGCTGCGTCTCATCCTGATGGTCGTCGCCAACCTGTGTCGCACACGTAAGCGCCGCAACTTCAGTGCACTCTAAAAAAAAACACACATTTTTTAATTAAAAATTTTTGGCAGGGTCGTTCCTGTCCCGCCTGTGCCGCGGCCCCCTGCTGCCGCTGCTGCTGCGCCCCATGACCCGCTGGGACAGCTTCGCCGGCCGCGTGCGGATGCGGATCTGCCAGTGCATCCTCGTGGCCCTGCAGCAGGCCGTCGGCTCAAGTACTTGGAAAGCAACCAGTTTCCCCGCGCTTTGAGCTCCAGAGTCGCTGGATGGGACTCGAACCGAGCGTGTGACCCCAGCAATGGATTGCTCTCCGAACGAGCAGTCCATTCGTGGGGTCACATGCTCGATTCGAGCCCCATTTAGCGACTCTGGAGCTCAAAACGCGTTTTGGATTTCGGCCGCCTCCACCGGTCTTCCGGCAAGTCCACTGCTTTGTTCCGCAGAGGCGGGGCGCAAGGCGCTGGTGGCGGGGAGCGGCGGCGGCACCGCGGCGCTGCAACGGTTCTGCCGCCTGTGCCCCGAGGAGAAGGCGTACGACGCGATGGTGTCCAGGGTGTGCGGCGTCCTGCAGCAGCTCGCCGAGCGCAAGGGGCTGCCCGTGCCGACGTGGGTGGGGCCCGCCACCTTCCAGTACACCCCGGCAGACCACCCAGGCGAGTTGGATTCCCGCTTTGTTTCTGATTTGGGAGTTTGTTTTGGTTGACCGTGGCGGTCTCCGCTCGCAGAAGCCGACGGCGGCCTCAGCGACGACAGCGGCGACGAGGCGGACGACGCGGACGACGTGGACGATGAGGACGACGACGACGGCGAGGCGGACCTGGACGAGGAGGACGGCGCGGCCGTGCGCCAGGACGTGTCGTCGGCGCCGTCGTCGCGCCGCTCCTCGCACCGCGGCTCCGTCCCCGAGGACGCCGTCCAGGACGCCGGCCAGGAGGCGCAGCAGCCCGACTCGCCGCACCGCCGCGACTCCCAGGACCTCGTCGTCTCGTACGCGTCCTTCTGCCGCGAGCTGCTGGACCCCGTGCCGCGCGCCACGGACCAGCCCTCTGCTGCAGGTTCGAATCCCACTCCACTCTGATCCCGAGAGTCGTTTTCGGCACCCTGATACACTTATGTGGCGCCTCTCTCTCTCGCAGCGTGCTCCGAGCTGGCTGTGCTGCACGGCGTGTGCGCTACACTGCCGCCGCGCCGCGCCTACTGCGCCGTGGCGTCCAGGGTGCGCGCCGTGGTGAAGGCCGCCAAGGTCGCCTACCCCGACATGGTGGGCGGCGGCTGCACCGGCCAGCTGCAGCCCCTCAGCGCCAGGGACCGCCGAGTGTGCAGGTCGGTCGCTCTGTCTCCCTCGCACCCACGGGGGACAGTGGCGTGCGCAGAAATTTTGAAAGGGGGGGGGGTCGGGCCATGCTTTTTGCCTACTTACAGGGGGAAAGTACCGCAATTTGCCTACCTTCCAGGCGACTGTCTAGTGGCCAAAGGGGGGGGGGTCATGACCCCCCTGACCCCCCCCTGCGCACGCCACTGACGGGGGACGGATCCATGTTTCCACTTTAGAGATATCGATACATCCTTCTGGACAGTCCTGTCTTTGCCCGTTATGACACTGCGTTGCACTGCGTTGCTTTGCGTCTTATGCAGGGCCAAGTTGCTCCAGTGCGTGGACCGGGTGCTGCAGCCGGGACAGCTGTGGAACATCGTCGCCTACGACCTGGACAGACTGATGGCCGAGCAGCAGGTCAAGGAGGGCCCCGGCGCGTGAGTGTTGAACCCTTTGGCCGCCCGGCGGGCAGTCCGCGGGCGCGCTGCGGAGCACGAAGGGATGCCTGCCTCCCAGGCGCCCTCCGTTCAATTACCATTACCATTAAGGGCTAGACCACATATGATCGTACCGGGCCTTGCCTTGACTTGCTCGACTTTGTCGCAGGCGATTGCTGAAGAACGAAGACGAGAACCGGCTGGGGTGTCGCCAGATGCCCGCCAACGGCTTGCGCTTCGAGTCACGCTTCGAGAGCGGCAACCTCAGGAAAGCCGTGCAGGTACACTGGTGATTTTATCGGCTGATTCACTGCCAAATGCCCTCTCTAAAAGCCTTTTGCTTAGATCGGGCCTCGCGAGTACGACCTGATCCTGTCGTCGGACGTCAACTCCACCAAGCACCACCAGTGGTTCTACTTCGAAGTGTCCAACATGGACGCGGACGCGGCCTACGTCTTCAACATCGTCAACAACGAGAAGGCCAACAGCCAGTTCAACTTCGGCATGCAGCCCGTCGTGTACTCTGTACGTCCACCAGCCTCTCTGCGTCCGCAGTTTTTAACGTGCTTTAAATAGGTTGTTATTAAAGTTCCTGCGGACACTTAGGTGCGGGAGGCGACGCTGGGGCGTCCTGGCTGGACCCACATGGGCAGCGACATCTGCTACTACCGCAACAGCTACCAGCGGCCCGACGGCCGGCGCGGACGGCTCTACCACACCACCACCTTCAGCATCAAGTTCCCCCACGCCTGGGACGTGTGCTACGTGGCCTACCACTACCCGTACACCTACACGCAGCTACTGGTCGGTTTAGTGGATGTGTCAGATTACTTTTTGAAAAAGGGAAAAAAAAAGGCTCTGTTTTGTACATTTAAAAATTTTGATTGCTCCAGCCTTTTTTAAATCTAAAGTTTTAAAAAATGACTTTGCATTTACATTTTTAAATTTTGGTTGGTAGAGCACTTTTTTTCTGAAAAAGAATGAAATTTTGACTTTTTTTTGTCCCAGATGCAAGTGGTCCGGTGGTCGCGCAGCGCCGGCGACGACGTGCTGTTTCGCGCCGAGTCCCTGTGCCGCACCCTGAACGGGAACGAGGTGCCTGTCCTCACCGTCACCGCCAAGGACACCAAGCAGAACCCCGTCCAGGTGCGGGGCTCTTTAGCGGATGATGACAGCGCACGGAAACAGATAACGAAATAAATACCGAGTCAGCTTGCTCGCTCTATGTCCGGCAAAAAATAAATACAGGACGTCGAAATTTTGTATCATCTGCCTTTCTTCAAAATTTATCAAACTACTTTTTTTAAATTTTGTATTATCTGCTTTTCTTTTAAATTTATCAAACTAGCTTTTTTTTGTACGTATCATCTGCTTTTCTTTAAAATTTACCAAACTAACTGTTTTTTTTTTTTTGAAATTTTGTATCATTTGCTTTCCTTTAAAATTTATCAAACTAACTTTTTTTTTCGAAAGTTCGTATCATCTGCGTTCTTTTCAAATTATCAAATTGACCTTTTTTTTAAAAAAAAAAAAAATGATTTCATGGTGTGGTTACAGGGCCGCTCCCTGCTGTTCCTTTCGGCGCGCGTGCACCCTGGCGAGAGCAACTCGTCGCACGTGATCCAGGGCACCCTGGACACCCTGCTGGCGCCCACCGCCCTGGGCCGCGCCCTGCGCGCCTCGTACGTCATCAAGGTGGTGCCCATGCTCAACGTGGAGGGCGTCGTCAACGGCTGGTAAGTCCAAAAAAAAAGAAAAAAAAGGTTACCGATTTTTGCTGTAAATTCCGTTTAGGGCAGCGGTTTCCAATCTTTTCGAGGTCGCGGCCTGACTTTTCGGAACCTTATGTGATATTTTTAAAGGTAGGAGAAGGAGGGAATTAAAACAACATTCAGGAAATGTCATGTATTTTTTTAAAAAAAATTATCTTAATCTTACGCAGACAGAGTTGATTTGCAAATGCAGAGCTTACAATTAAAGTCGCTTCGATCTCGTAACCAAGAAGGTCTCTGTCCATTGGCCTCTCGCGAAACTCTTAGGTAGTCTTAAAAGAGAAGTTAGTCTATTATTTATTTATTTCGAATCTAAATAATCCCTAGTCGATGGATATCACAAGTTACAACCCGCCAGCCCCCGCGGAGGGGCGGCGGTCTCGGGAGAAGCAGCTCGGTCGAAGGACAGCCCATGGCGACTTCCGTCGCAGAATCTTATTTTCGTTGCTGGACAAGAAGGCCGCGTCTGCCGTCGGCCCTTGCAGCGAGTGGGGAACGGGTGCCACGACGGCTGTCCCGTGCGGAGCGCGGAGCCTTACAGTGATAAAAATCATAGAGAAAAGGGGAGAGAACATCGAGTCAGTCTTTAGGGCCTGTCACGTGACACCAGGAAATCCTTAAACAGTTAAACGAGTCACCGTGCGTGCCGGTCATCACTGCGGTCAACAATCGTCGCTACAAATACACTAAAAAAAATATGAAAAAAAGGGAAATGACGTTGTTTTTGTTTTTTCTGAAATGTGAGATCAGCAGAGACGACGAGCACGTGGTTCGCCGGCCGTGTCCGAGACGCGACGCGCGGCGTGGCGAGACGGCGTGACACGAGCGTGACACGAGCGTGACACAGCGTGACGCGGCGCGGCGTGGCGTCCGAGGAACACGAGCGTGCCAGAGTCGCGTTTCGTCCAGTTTTTTTGTTGTTTTCCTCCTCGTTTTCAGGGCACTTGTGTGTGTTCCTGTGGGAACTGCCTTCGGAAGGCCGCAGTCTTGCGCCCGGGGCCTGCTGTGCTAATTAGCGGCCTTCCAGGCGATCGGCCGGAAAGTTACTAGATTTCGAGTTGGAGCCGAAAGTTGCGTGAGCTATTTTTTCGATTTTCTGGAATCCTTGAGGAGGGTGCGACTGGCTGGCGCGCCGGTGTTCCTGGGGCATAGGCCGAGTCCTTCACCGAGTGCCTCAGTTGGCGCCGCCGCCGCTCACGCGCCGCGGCACGGGGATCTCGAGCTTGATGTTGGCGGGCCAGCCCCAGCCGAGGCCGGGCCCGGCGGCGGGGCCTGCGGTGGGGCCTCCGGGCGCGGCGGGCTGCTCCAGGAACTTGCCGCGGGCGCGGCCGGAGGCGGCGGGGACGTCGGTGGGCTGCGGCGGCGCGTCGGTGCCGGCCAGGACGCTGTTGTCGGGCTGGCTCTCGTCGACGGCGTCCTCGGCGGCCTCGGCCGCGGCGGGCGGCACGGTGGCCGCGTCGTCGTCGGCCGGCGCCTCCTCGGCGGGCACCTCGTTGCCGGCCTCGTGGTCCAGCAGGACGGCCTCGGTGGTGGACGTGGTGGGCGCGATGGTGGTCGTTGTGGTGGTCGTGCTGACGGGCAGGGGGCGGTCCTTGCTGTTCCGGCTGCAACACACGCCCGCGTGTCCCGCACACGCATCACTCACTCAAGGGTTGCATTGCAAGGGTGGCAAGCTGCACAGTGGGCCACAAGGCCGGCGGAGGCGGCCAAAAGACGCGTTTTGAGCTCCAGAGTCGCTTACCAGGGCTCGAACAGAACGTGTGACCCCACCAATGGATTCCTCGTTCGGAGAGCAATCCATTGGTGGGGTCACACAATCGGTTCGAGTCCTGTTTAGCGACTCTGGACCTCAAATCGCGTCCGGGATTTTGAACACCTCCACCAGGTCTTCTGGCCCACTGTGCGTTGGTCTTGGATTAATTGACACCAGAGCGTGAGGTTAGATGTTTTGTTGAAAGCGTTAAAGAAGGGAGACTTTCTGTACTTTCGCTGTCTAAATGTGGCGTTACCGATCGTTACAAAGGTCATCCAGACGACTTCCTTCAAGAATTGGATTTACTTATTTCGTTGTCCTCTGCACAACCCGTCCGCGAGAAAAAGACAAAGAGTGCCCTACACTGCACGCGGCCCCCTTCCCAGTGTCCCAGCGGCTCACCCGCGTGGAAAATGGATTCTCGCGTCGAACGGTGACTGATGCCGACGATTGCCTGTTAAAGCTTGGCAAAGGCTCCTGAGGCCGCGGCCGGCCGTTCCAGAGGGAGTCTTATTGTTTCGGCCGCGACCTTGCGCGCGGGACCTTGGTCTAGTGTGGCCACACGGCGCCGAGCGGGGCCGCGCCGCGGCCGTCCCGGCAGATGGGAACCGCGCCGGGGCCGGGTGGGAACTCTATAGAGACGCATCTTCCCACCAAAGTGTGCACTTTGTGCCGACTTAATGTCCCCAATCCCATCTCAGCACGGATGCGTTGGTTTTACAGTGAGGGGACACGCCTTGACACACGCGAGGCACCGGGCAAACCGCCACCCGCGTCTCTCTTTCCTATCAACTCTCAATTTCTACTTTATGAAAACAACTGTTTAAAACTGCTGTCCCCACGAAATTTTTTTTTAGCTCCGCGTTGTTGGCTAGCCTGGCGGTTCGCCGGGCCTTCCGCGTTGATTCGCGCAGTTCCACTCCACTTTAAGACATCTCGATATTGTTTATTTTCCCCGAACTCCCTCGTCATGTAATGTAACGAGGTCGTGCGCTACCCCGCCTCCTCCTTCCTCGATTCCGAAATCCCCGCATCATTTTTGCAGTGCAGGAAATGACGTCCTTTGGCGGTTCTGCGTGGACGCGCGTCCGAAATGTTTCGACGAAAATAATTTCTCGCACCGAGTCGTACTCGAACCCGGGTCGTTTTGGACCGCCTGGGGGGTCGACGGCCGAGACGAATGCACCCAAGGGACGCGCTCACCCGGCTCATTCGATTGTCATTTTTCACACCGAGATCGTTCTGACAGTCATTAGGAAGGTGAGGTGATTAATTAAGATTTAATTTTGACCGCTCGTGTCGTTATGGAAGCGATAACCCAAAGCCCGACCAGGCACTTGGCAGCTCACAGTGAAGACCGGTGGAGGCGGCCAAAACGCTAGACGCGTTTTGAGCAACAGGACTCGAAACGAGCGTGTGACCCCACCAATGGATTCCTCGTTCGGAGAGCAATCCATTGGTGGGGTCACACGTTCGGTTCGAGGCCTATTTAGCGACTCTGGAGCTCAAATAACGCGTCTAGAGTTTTGTCCGCCTCCGCCGGTCTTCTGGCAAATCCAGTGTGCGGCCGAGCCCCACCCCAGTGCTGAGTAACGTAGAGTCGCACCTGCTTACCCCTGTGAGGAGGACACGGGGATGGAGCCGTAGTTGTAGTAGTAGCAGCGCGTCTGCTCGCAGATGAAGTCCTTGACGCTCGTGCAGTCGTCCACGGCCCAGTGCAGGTCGGGGGCCTTGAGGGCCACGCAGCCGCTGCTGGGGCCGCTCTTGCTGCGAGAGGCGAAGAGGCAAAAAGCGAATTAGCGACCGGATTGTAGAGAGTCATTGCCGGGATGGGGCGGCCTCATCCGATTAAGAAAACTATTTTTAAAAAGTCTTTAAAAGCCCTTCCATTTTTCAAAAACTTGGAAAACTTTCAAATCTATTTAGAAAATTTGAAAAAAACATTTTTAAAAACTTAAATTTTTTTCAACAAAAACTTTAAAAGCTTTAAAAAAAGTAGGAAAAAAATTGAAGTGTAATTTTTTTTTGCCGAACAAAAAGTACTGTTTTGGCCGGATTGAACCACATGTACCTCTGGCGGGCGGAGCCGTGGCGTCGCAGGAGGGGCGCGGGCTGCTCACTGGTCATGACGACGGCGTCCTGGGGCTGGGCGGCCGCCTCGTCGGCGGGCACGTTCATCAGGTCGAAGGTGGCGTTGAAGGGCAGCCCCGTGCTCATCCACAGGAACATGTCGGTGCCCAGGCGGTTGCCGGACGTCCAGAAGTCGTACTGGTTGTAGCCTGCGGGGATCAATCGTTTAATTTTTGGTTACTTTAGTCACTTTGCAAAACAAATTTAAAAAAAAAAGAAAAAAAAGACGATGTTTTGATTGATGACTGACCGGCGTTCCGGAGGTACTGCGTGATGGAGTCCGACTTCTCCTTGGACTCGAAGGAGGTGAGCTGCAGGCCCAGCGAGCGGCAGTACTGGTAGGCCAGGAAGTAGTTGAGCTCGGGCGAGTAGGGGTTCATGCGGCTCACGAAGTACTGCACGCCGTCCAGCTGGATCGTCGTGATTCGCTGGCCTGGAATCGGAAGCCGAGGAGGCGGTGGTCAGTTTGGGTTTGGGGCCTCGCAGTGGGCCAGAAGACCGGTGGAGGCGGCCGAAACTTCAGACTCGTTTTCACCTCCAGAGACGCTAAATGGGACTCGAACCGAACGTGTGACCCCACCAATGGATTGCTCTCCGGACGAGGAATCCATTGGTGGGGTCACACGTTCGATTCGAGTCCTATTTAGCGACTCTGGAGCTCAAAACGCGTCCAGAGCTTTAGTCCACCGGCGCCGGTCTTCTGACCCACTGTGCTCTGGCGGGCCTCTGGTGCCATGCCCGGTCCATATAAAAAGGCAAAACACACCCAAACGAAAAAAAAAATTAAAATGTCCCGCGTGCGTGTGGGTATTCGAACCCACGCCCGCGCTTGGGCCGTTGTTGTTCTGGCCGTGGGCGTGGCCGGTGATATCATCGGAGAAAGGAGCGAGAGGGTTACGGGGATGACGCAGTATCACTTTCTCGCCGTCACTGTCAAGGCTGAGGCCGACCAGGAGGGGAGAGGGGGGGGCTGCGTCATGTCCCCACGCACGTTGTAGGTCACACACACACACACACACACACACACACACACACACACACACACACACACACACCCTCCTAGCACGACTCTCTCTCGTACACACACACAGAGTCGTAAGTGAATCGGAATTGTTATCACAGCGGCCAATCACGTGACAGGGCGCGGCCCGCCTCTTCTTCAATAGACGTCCGTCATCTTCTTGATCGGCACCACGTGGCGGTGCCAGCAGTCGAGGGTTCGACGCCCACCAACTTCTGTTCAATTTTTTAGGGGGGGGAAGGTGTCTGCTTAGGAGGCAGACGAGGACAAATCCTTTGGACTCTACTGGTGCATCTGCTTAATTTTTGCCTACTTATGTGGCCACACTGGTCTGGGGGTAGCGGTGCGCCCGTCTGTGTGTGTGTGTGTGTGTGTGTGTGTGTGTGTGTGTGTGTGTGAGAGAGAGAGAGAGAGAGAGAGAGGCTGCAACAGCACGTGTGTGGTGCAGGCGGTGCCGCTCCGTCCCCATGACGTGTGTGCGAACTCTGCACCGCGTCGGAGAATCCCTGCCTCAGACGGTTCAATTGTCTGCCTGCTCGTTTTTCTGTGTCTGAGTGCCTGGAGCTGGCCGTGTCTGTGTGAGTCTGTGCGGGAGAGAGAGAGAGAGAGAGAGAGAGAGAGAGAGAGAGAGAGAGAGAGAGAGAGAGAGAGAGAGAGAGAGAGAGAGAGAGAGAGAGAGAGAGAGAGAGAGAGAGAGAGAGAGAGTGAATGTGTGTGTCGGGGCCCGGCCGCCACGGAGCGCGCCTGCCTTCGGAGCGATGATGCTCTACAGCTAATTCTGTCTGTTCCCACGTCGCCTCGGCAAAAAAAACAACAATAAAAACAATAAAAGGTAATCGGCAATTTAGCAATTTGAGTCGCGCGGCGAGGATGCCGCGACAAGACGGGCAAGCCCGAGCAAGCACGCCGACGAGGTCCGACGCATGCCCGACGCGCCTTGACGCGAGCGCGTCTCGCCCGCAGCCCGCAGTCTCGCCCTTTGCCGCGTTCCTCCCGCATTCCCCTGCCCTACGCCTCGCGGCCCGGCAGGCCGGAAGGCCGGTGGAGGCGGCCAAAGGACGCGTTTTGAGCTCCAGAGTCGCTAAATGGGACTCGAACCGAACGTGTGACCCCACCTATGGACTCCTCGTTCGGAGAGCAATCCATTGGTGGGGTCACACGTTCGGTTCGAGTCCCATTTAGCGACTCTGGAGCTCGAAACGCGTCTTGGCCACCTCGTGCACCGTGGGAATTTTTGCCACTGCCTGTGAGGGGTGGACCCACCGCCTTGTGACCTCTACCACCGCGTCCGTCCCGTCCACGCCGCCGCCCGCCGAGTCGGCCATAGGCAACCTGCCGCGCGGGCGTGCTTTGCGTGCCCGCCTCTGTCTCTGGCGAGCCCCGCGAGTCCGACAGAGACGGCCGTCCGCGTCGGCCGTGGCCTTGGCCGCCGCGCTGCAACCCGGCAGCCTGCTGCTAGCCTGCTGCAGCGCCACGCCGCGCCGAGTTCAGTGCTCCCCGGGCAAGGCAGAGCAACGCAGAGCAACGCAGAGCAACGCAGAGCAAGGCAGAGCAAGGCAGAGCAACGCAGAGCAACGCAGAGCAACGCAGAGCAACGCAGAGCAACGCAGAGCAAGGCGGTGCAGGCCGTGAAAAAACTAATCCTGCGCTGTAAAAAAGTAGTCCCGCGATCCGATTGCTGTGCCGCTGTGCCGCTGCGATTCCAGCGCCTTTCCGAGAAGGCGGTGGTCGGCCGGCCGGTGCATCACCCGTCGGCACAAGGCGGTGGCAAGGCGGTGGCTTGTTTCTGCACGGGACTCTGTTTGGCTCCCGGAGTTGGCGATAGCGCGCTGCCAACCTGACTCCGGGAGTCGTCGCTCTGTCTCTCTCGCACCCACACGGGACCGACGGCACGCCCCATGAGTGCGAGAGAGACAGAGCGACTGGCGCCCTTATCCGCGGCAGGCGCCGAGCAGACGCCCTCGTGCCAACGCGACGCGACGCGAGCCGACGCCAAATTCCAGGCTTTAGGAGCCGAGCGCCGCGCCGCGCCAACGACCAGCGGATAAGAAGGGTATAACGAGAAGCTCAAATGGAAGCGTTCGGGCACTCTGCGTGTCGCGGTTTGCACACAGCAGTGCGTAGGGCTCGTCAAAATATTTTAATTTCAAATCCAATTTTGCACCAAAATTTTGTTCTTTGGTTTTGCAAGCGCACTAAGTCGACACGTCAAATCATTTTAATTTAATCATAGAAGCAGGCTTTAAAGTCGAATTTTGACTTGAAATTTCTCTTACAAAGAAAAAAGGACGGAAAATTGGAGAAGGCGAGAGAGTGAAGGATGATTTCAAATTGAATTGACAAAGAATTTCCCTTGAAAAAGAGTGGCAGAAAATGGGGATACAACTGTAAAATGAGTGAGTTCCGAGAGGGCGTTGAGAGGGTGCAAGAGGTTCGTCTGGACGGCCTGCACGGCGGGACCCCTGCCCCGCCTTGGAGTTGTTGACCCCCTTTGTCCCATTAGGTCTGCCTGGGCTCTGCCTGGGCTCGTCTCTGCGCGTGCGCGTTGCAGTGTACCGACCTATCTCGCACGGCCGGCCCACATGACTTACGCCCTTCTGTGCACCACTCCGTGTGCACCACAGCGTGCGTAAGCCCTTCGTGCGCAGTCGTCCTTTTTTCGCGTACAGAGTGGCGCGGCGCGGCGGGGCTCGGACGTCGCCTATTCAGCGTCGTGTTCGGACAAGGGCTCCGCCGCCGCACAGTGGGCCAGAAGACCGGTGGAGGCGGACAATACTCCAGACGCGTTTTAAGCTCCAGAGTCGCTAAATGGGACTCGAACCGAACGTGTGACCCCACCAATGGATTGCTCTCCGAACGAGGAATCCATTGGTGGGGTCACACGTTCGGTACGAGTCCTGCTTAGCGACTCTGGAGCTCAAAACGCGTCTAGAGTTTTGTCCGCCTCTACCGGTCTTCTGGCCCACTGTGCGCCGCCGGCCGCGAACATAGCAGCACACATTTCTTCGAAGCGTCCAGCGTCCAGGCGCGCGGCGGTGGCGGCGAAGAGGTGAGAGAAGGGGAGGGGCGGGGCCCGTCAGGGACCTTTGACATTGAGTTGCACGCAGTCGTGTGGACGGCGCGGAGGGCGGGGGGTCGTTTACCCCGCGGTGTGTGTGTGTGTGTGTGTGTGTGTGTGTGTGTGTGTGTGACGCGTGCATCGACGCATAAATGCCGACGGCATCGAGATGGTCTTGTCCACCACCACACTGGGCAGGGCGGGCGGTGCGTCGCTGCGCTTTTGGCGTGTCATGCAGTGTGTGCGCCGCGCGCCGCCATGAGGTCACGACCGACGAAATGGAAACCGACCAAATCACTTCTAGTACTCCGAATCGAACTTGATCGAGATGGTGTTGTTGTTGTTGTTGTTCCTGCTCGTCCGAGGGCCCCGCGTTGCTGCCCCTGACCGGAAGCGGGGAAGCAGTGCGTTCCGCGGGGTGGTTTTTACGCGCCGCCGCATAAGTCGCATGCGGGTTTTCCTTGCAGTTGCTTTTGCTTTTCCGTTCCAGTCTGTGCGTGCATTTGCAGCAGCGCACAGTGGGCCAGAAGACCGGTGGCGGCGGCCGAAACGCAAGAAAACGTTTTGAGCTCCAGAGTCGCTAAATGGGACTCGAACCGAACGTGTGACCCCACCAATCGATTCCTCGTTCGGAGAGCAATCCATCGGTGGGGTCACACGATCGGTTCGAGTCCCATTTAGTGACTCTGGAGCTCGAAACGCGTCTGGAGTTTTGGCCGCCGCCACCGGTCTTCTGGCCCACTGTGGGGCGCGGCCGTCGCTTGGCCCGACAGTGGCGTGGCTGGCAGTGTAGGCCCTTGCATCCGTCTGAGTCATCAGTCGCGGCATTGACATTGACAGGGCCGGCGTCACGTCGTCGGAGGGGGAGGGGGAAGGGGGTCACATCCTCCCCTGCACTGTACAGTACAGTACGCACTCGCGCACGGTTTTTCCAGCCGGTGCTGTCGGGACGAGGGTTCGACTCCCGGCTCCGGCCAACGGTTTTTTTTTCCAGTGGGGGGTGGGCCGCTGCCTACTCTGGGTCGCTTTGAGACCCGAGGGCCCGGCTGGGCGCTGCGCGCTACGCGAGGAGGTGGCTATGGCCCCCGCCGGTCCCCGAGTTCATTTGCATGTCCCGCGTGGAGTCAAGTTAACGCCACTTAGGCCCACCGGAAGTCCGTTGACACGCGCGTGACGCGTGCGGCGACCGTTTAACCGCAGAGGGCTTTGGGGGGGGGGGGGGGGGGAGGCACGGGCAAAGGGCCAGGGCGACATAAAGAGTGTGAATTTGCGACCGCGCCGACCAGTGCACTGTAGTGGCCGCGTCGCGGCGTCGCACTAAACCGCATTCTACTGTCAGCGTCGTGGGTCGTGG